GGACGAAAGAGCTCCAACGATCCCGGCGTCTCTCCCCCATGATGACCCCCCTGGAATGCCCCTGGTGAACCATTCCCCTGGGCCCGAAGCCGCCGCCGCCGCCACTTATCACCACCACCCGGCCAGACCAACGGCAATCCTGTTGTAGGTCTTCTACATAGTACTATGTAGGTTCCAGTTGGTTTTTGGAAAGTGGCACACCACCCACCGCGCTGTATGGAACAGGCAGGACTGAAGCAAACATCGCAATAGAAGACAAAGAAACCACAAGCTGGCGCCGCCCGCCCCCCTCCCCACCCAGTTCATGTGCGCCCGTTAGGCATGCTTTCCCCATGGTTTCTGCCGGGGCCATTGTAGCACAGAAATTGCCGTGTAGTAGTTGGCGGGGTGCATGTAATTAGAGACCCCCCCCCCCCCCCCCCCGACAAAAGTGCCCGTCTCCGCCCGTTTGTCTAACTACCATGTCGAGGTCTGGTCCGTCGCCCAGAGCACAAGGGGATCCGCAGATCGGGTGAGGAAATTTCCCATTATCCCACGGGAAATATACTAAAGCGTCTATTATTTGCCTCGATTCCAATTTTGCCTGCATTACCTAGTCCCATTTCTTTGCAGTGATGTTGCCTCAGGATCATGTATGTAGGTTCAAACTGGTTTTGGTCCCCGAATCCCCAGAGCTGGTCGCTGAATGGGGTCCTTTGTCTTGTTCCGTCATCGTCGTCTTCTCCTCTTGCGCACCCGATTTTCGCTATTCTCCCCACTTTGTTACCCGTCAACTCAGCCGTGTTTGGCTACGCCTCGTTCCTCAAGCGCAGGAGTGTGTACACTGAGTCTGGCTGGACGGACTAGCAAGTATAGCACGGCCTTGTCAAGTATTCGCACCGTCTGGCTCGAGTGAGCCAGGTGCCAGCGCCATGTCTCGTTGTTCGACTTCCAGAATTGACCCTTGGCTCTTGATGGCTAGTGAGAGGTCGCGTAGCCTGAAGCGGTTGCACCGGTGCGACTCCATCACGTACATTCTCGACTGCCCCCCCCCCCCCCCCCTACATCCATAACCGCGCGCCGGACTACTGCATTGCTAGCCAAGGGACCAAGAATAGACACTTCAGACCAGACGAGAGCCACCTAGAAAGTCAACAGCGAGGGGAAGTGGAAGGCGCCGGCGCCTGCGGCCATGACATGTCCGCAACCCGGCGCCGGCTCCTGCTTCTGTGCTCCTGTCTCCTGTCTCCCTCCTCGGCCGGCCCGTCTCCCTGAAGTTGCATGATCTCCCCCTCCTTGAACTCGACGCAACTCGACCCAATTCTGCCCACCATCTTGCTCACAATCTCTACCCAACTGAGCTATTCCATTTTGGACCAATCAACTGCATGCTGAAGCTCCAGCAAAAGGCTGATCGATGCTCCACCATCTCCCCAAGCAGAAATATCCGCCAAAACGTCTGGACGGACTCCTTGCCATAGCCCCGAGCTAAGGAAAGGGAACGATTCCAAAGGCGGCAAGGATCTGTTGCTTCTCAGCCATGTACACACATGCATGCAACCCACGCAACTTGCAACCCCAGGGCAGAGACCCTCTGCATAGAGAGAAAGGGAAACAGAAGGGGTTCGGTTTATTCCAAGGGTGCGAAAAATGGCGGCGGTAGGCTAATTTGGCACCTCATTACTGATCAGTATCACCCATGCGTCTAAGCATCCTGCTCCTTGCCTCTTCCCCTTTCCTCCATCGTCATGCCAATGGGCAATAAAACACAAGAGAAGAAGAAGAAGAAAAAACCCAAAAGTGGTTCTGGGCCCAACAGACGAGGGGTCGAAGGGAAGGGGAGGGGTGTGTGTGAGCGTCCAGCCACTTAAGGAAGAGACACAGGGAGAGCGGTCGATGAAGAAAGAGATTTTACCCACGTCGAACCCACGCCAACCACCACCCACCACACAATCCGAAAAAAGAAAGCAAGCCAAAAAAGTTACCAAACCTGCGATCTCACAATCTGGAGTTCGCACTAGCGGCCCAACTTTACCAGGACCCCGACTTTGCCAAGCTTCCACTGCGGGTTGGAGTACTTTGTACTTTGTAGTGTAACTGCACTACACCGCATCAAACGCATCTCTTCGCACTCATTCACTCACCGTTGCCGTCTCATTCACGCTCAACCATTCAAGCCCTCGCCAACTCATCCACGGTCGATATTTGTAGTTGTGTTCGTATATGGATGAAACTCGGTGAGAACTATGGACCTCGCTACCAGCAGCAGTGTTCCGTCCACTGGTGCACCAGACACGTAAGAGATGAGTCCAGGCAGAAAATCCACCACTTCACTTTCAACTTACATTCCAAGGACTGGCCAGGGCACGTAATATCAGCAACGACGCCCTGAGATGCTTCCATTTCCCATCTCCATCTGGAACCTATTGGGCAAAATATCCTGTCTTGGTCGCGCTAACCACCACGGGGCATTGCGGACAGCACGGACGGGTTGATCCATTGCATCCGCCCACTTCACGCATCACGAACATCACCATCATTCGCCGTCGCCGTCACCGCCGCTGCCAAGGAGCCACACTTTCGTTCTCGCCTTGCTCATATCGCATTCTCCCGTTTCATTTGACATCGCCACCGCTGTCAACTGTGCAGTGTGCAGTGTGCCACTGCCGCACGCAGTATCACTTATGGATCCGTACCGCCAGTCCACCGCGGTCGCGATGCATGCTTCATGTTACACCCCTGATCAACCAGCTATTTTTCCCATCGATCCCGCCCCCCCTACGTATATCGAGTGTCCATGTACTGGCTCCATGCTACAATACCCCTGGCTGACAGCATCCCCCCTTTCCTCCACATCCACAGCTGATTTGTATTTGAATATATTGCGCGGGTGCATCAACATGGACCCTCGTCAACCTATACCCAGTCCGACGGATTCGTCCGGCATGTGGGCCACCGCCCTGTTCTTCGGGATCATGGAAGACTCAAATGTGCGTCTAATAGTCCGCAGCCGCGTGTTATGGAACATTCCTACTGCATTCGGCATACCCATCCATGGTCTACCAGTGTCTCGTTTTCTCCCGAATGACTTTCGACCCGCCAACGGCCGCCAGTGCGTGCCGCGATCCATCAAAATGCGTACCCACGCCCACCTGTGCCCTATGCCATGGCAATGTAACATGCAAAATGTAGTCAGTCTATTGCTATCATGATCTAGGTTCTGCCCACTAACAAGAGCAGACCAGTCCAGTCACCAGACACCGCCGTGGGTGGATGAGTGCCTTGGCGAAACGTACACTACAGCGACATGGCCAGCTACGGCAAGATTAGTACCGCCATCGGAGGGCTAATTAGCCCGCCCGACCCGGGGCTTGCTGCAGGTTGAGACGACGCCATGCCATCCGCGAAGATCCATGTCTGTGCTCTCTGATGCCTGCACACGCACCTCACGTTGCTGAGGGCTCTGCTCTGCAGCGCGCGCTCTTTCCCCCCTCTCTCTCTTTCTCTCTCGCACTCTATGCTGTTTGTTGACTGGTGCAGCATTTGCGACTGCCGCCACTGGCCATCCTGATCCCCAGAAGGGTGTCTCAGTTGAGTCGCACCCCCACCCCTGGTCTTCAGTCGGCCTTCAAGAAGAACCATGGCCGGCTGGCTGCCGATTCACCTGACGTGTAGCGCCCCGCCGGTACCTTCATTGGTATGGGCATCGTCGTTCCAAACACTTCATCGAGGCCCACTGATTCGTCCTGATCGAGCTGGTGATGCCGCCGTTTCTCCTCACTGTCTGTCACCTTCACAGCTGGACCCCCTTCACTTTTCGACGCCTCTTTGCCCTTGGCGTGCCCCTCTAGCGTCTGCGCCTGCGCGCGCGCCCGCGGACGAAGCGCCAGTGCATCTTCGTCGGCTCCCGGCCCTGCTCCAGAGTCCGCGGCGCCCGGCGGGTTGCCATGCACCGCGACTAACACGCCACACTCCCAATTACGACAGGTCAGCTTGGCTGCTCCCGACACCCGATCTTTCACTAACCGGCCCCTATGGCCCAATTTAGGTCAGCCTTATGGTAGATCCATGTCCTTTCGTTACGTTGCCCTTGGACTCTCCCATCTGCTGTTATCCCTCTCGATAACCGCTTCCTTGCCCTTTGCGCTCCCACTAAATGAAGCGTATGGATCGCTGCCCAATCGCGAGGGTTCCCGTTTGACTTACCATGCGCTCTCCGACAGGTTTGCACTACCCACGTATGCCCAGGCTGCGCCGTCGCTTGCCCGCTCCCGGACGAAGATGGCTTTGCTATGTAGCAGCAAGCCGCTTCTGACGCTCTGGCAGTCTCGGAGTAATTCTCGTGGGAAACTAGACGCTTTCCACCATTTCTCTTGGAAGGAAATGGTGCCGCCAGACTGTATTATCACGCAAGATGAGCATACGGGGAAATGAAGAGGGATTTTGGGCAGCAGGATCGACCGGTACCGCGGCGATCCCCGCCGGCACGCAACTTACAGATTTACCGCCCCGGCTCTTAGAAACGGTCTGCTCAGTAGGGAAGTAGATGCGGAAATGATGCTGCCATTGAAGCGTCTCGTTGTCGACTGGTCTAGAACCGTCCAAGCCTGATTTCGCAGCCTTGCTTCTGGTCATCTTAGATTGTCTGACTTCATATTCCTTCATGCCCGAATCGCCTGCAAGGGGCCGCGGGGCGTTAGCATGCTGGTTTTCCACCCTGCCAAACAACAGTAGGCTTGCTTGAAACCAGACGTACCTTGACAGGCATAGTAAATCGCCGTTAAGTAAGCATGGTTCAACGATCCCAGCGAAGATGCCTTACATGACAAATTGATTAGCAACGTTCCCTGTCACGCTGACCGCCAAGACCTGGGCGTCCTGCTCAGCTAGCACACCGCGTACGTACCACGTAGTCAACGTCAACGGCATCCTCGGTTGCCAGACCTAAGCTTCGAACAGTGCTCCCTAGCCCGCAGTAGCCTAATTATAACAGTCAGTCTTGTTTCGGCTCGCCACGAACGTCAAGCCCTCGCGTCCCGGGCGACCGCGGGTAGACTGGCCTGTGTGCTGCCAAGAGTCATTTGCATGGCTGCCCGCACTAATTGTTCATGTCAATTGTCAGTCACGATGGCATACCAACTAGGATCGTCCTGGCGCTGACTCACATAGAGTGAATGAAACCGTAGCGGCTTGTTTCGGAGAAGTTATAATTGTCGAGACTCTTCACTAGCTTCTCGTCGAGGCCAAGAGCTCGCAGGAAACGCCGCAGCTCAGTTCCAAACAGGGTCTCGGCCGGGGGTGCGGTCGGACGCGTGCTTTCGAGCCTGGGGAGATCAATCAAGAAAACCATCTGTCAGAGGTCAGCGAGATGTTCAACGACATGCCGGATGTCGGAGAGGGGACATTTTCCATGACACCGGTCTCTCCCCAGTCGTAGGGAACCAGATTGCCGGAAGGAATCACAATACGGAGATAACTGCAAATCAGTCAGTAGCTGCCGGTGGCTTAAACAATGGAGACCAACTTACCCTTCATATTTCAGGATCTGCAGCTTGGAGTGCATGTACCCGCCGTGCATCGGCGGAAAGCAAAACCTGACAAGCCCAGATGGGGCGTTTGCGCGGATGGTGGCTCTCTGGTGTGGTGAATCGTAACATCAGCCATTGTTCCAGAAATCGAGCTAGATTAAGCTCAATTTTGGCTTTTATTGCACCAGAATACGCACCTCGGCCTCATTGTTTGCATAGGCAACCAGAAGCATCTTCGTCTGTCGGGCGTCGACCTTGGAGAGGAGCCACTCCTCGTCCCACTGGAAGGACGAGAGTACGGCCAGCTGCAGCTTGTCCTTCTGGAGGACCTCCTCGATCTTGATGTCCTCGCCGGTTCTGGGGTATCCGAAAGCCCAAGTTCGCTTGAAGGCGCCCTTTGAGAACGGTAGCTGAGGCGCATCTCCTGCTGTATTCGTTGACTTTGATGGACCAAAGGAAGTATTGGAGGCCTTATGCCCTTGTGACACTTCAGGCCGCTGTAGCTTTGGTCTCTGATGCTGATCATCGAGCTCGGCTTGAGTCGCCGAACGTTTCTTGAGTCTCGCAAGACGTTCCTCCTCCATCCTCCTTCTGTCGAGAGCCAAGGATCTAAAGCTAGTAGCAGGGGACGGCTTAGGGATCTGTTCCGAAGACCTTGCAGTAGAAGGTGCTGTTTCAGTATCCTCGCTTCTGGCATTCTCTTGTTCCTGCAAGGAAAGTGCAATGGCTAGGGCAAGATCGGGGTCATCCTCGGGACCTGGCGACGATGAATGCGCCCGCTGGCGGTTTGAAGCCATGCTCCCGGTCGTGTGTGTTGGAGGCAAGTTCGTTGCAATGATGACAACTTAAGCGATCTCTGCCCGAACGGTAGTCTAGTACAGTTTGCAGTGGAATGGAATGCGGCCAACCGTCTTTGACACAAAGATTGAACGTGAAGGTAGACGTTGGACATTGTACGACGTCCATACGCGGGCGACGTGTAACGAGGCACTTTGGGTGGAGCTGCCTGCCTATCGCGAAGTCATGTGCTTTCGCGTTGAAGTTCACCCCTTTAGCTGCACATCTCTGTCAATAGCGAATAGTGGATAAGCACATATCGTCGGATACCAACTTGCGGGCAGATCACCTTGCTGCCTTGATTGACGATATTCCGAAGCTGCTAGCTTTCATATGGGGAAAATCTATGGCTTCCTTCCTATTTGAATCATGTTTTACATGTTTTTGTGCAGTTGCGATGCTACTTACCACTCCGAACATATTGATACTTGCTTGAGTAGGCTTCAATATGACCTGTTGAGCTATGCATAGCTGTCAGTGAATGCAACGTTTTTCGAAAGCGCAATGTGCAGTTGATTGTGAAAAGTTTCAGGGACCCCGAATTGTGTGACAGAGTGTCCAAAGCCCGTTGGAGCATTCATTGGTTTAGGATGTATGAGGATTCAGAGTTCTGATGAAACCTGTGCCATTGAGTCAACAGCGTTGTTGAGCCTGGGAGTCCTAACGTTAGCAAGCCCATTGGTGTCAATCTAGACGCCTGATAGAATTTCATGGACATACTATTTATATTTCAGGGGCAGGTTTCTCTTCCACCTCAGTCTGCTACGGGGTACTGGTCCTTGAACCAGTCCGGTTGTAAGGGTATTGAGAAGACCGACTATTACTAGATGTTTGATTAATACCTATAAGAAAAAAGTACATTCGGCTAGTGGGCGCCGGAGGCGCCGGAACGGTCAGTATTCCTTCATGGCCCATACCGATGCGAACTTCCAGGTTGACCTTCAGACAGTTTGTGCTGCCACCTTGGTACAACACCTCAGCATGTCCAAAATCACGGTGTTAAAAAGGAGCAACGTGACTGGTGACCAAGTCAAATCAGTACCCATTGACGAGAAGATGGCTAGACCTTGTAGATGGAAGTAGACGTACGGGTTTCCAAAGGCCTGGCAATCCTTCTAGGCTCATAGTGGCTAGTCACCCCACCAGATCTTCAAACAACTCCAACCTTTTCTTGATATATGAGCAAGAACCCCCAGAGTTCCAGCTCTAGGTATCACTCAGGAGAGGCGTGGAAGGTTATGGACAAACTGCTCCACAAGCACAACTATCAACCGAATTGTCCTCCTAGGACTTTAATGAAAACACAAGCCCATTCCTTATCTTACTAAATAGAGTATGCCAGTACTCGGTCTCGTTCCTACCAGCTCCCGTTCAGAAGCTCCTCTTGTCTACATTATGCAAGAAATGTCGGCGAAAGGATGATCTACCCACTCATGGTGCCGTTATCAAGAACGAAAATCAGATCGCCCGTGTACCTGGCGCCATTGTCAAACGGTTATCCCAGGTCCTCGACAGGAGCCTCTGGGCCTATAACCCCTACGTCTCATGAATACACTAAAATTGCCGATAATGGTAGCCTCTGATAATGTATAGTCTTGGAAAGGGCCGGCAAAGATATTTCAGAGCAAAGACACAAAATCACGCCGAGAACCAAACTTATCCGCATCGTCTCAGTGACAGGTAATGGAGAGTGTTGCCGGAAGTGAGGGACACCGCTCGCAAGGAGCTATCGATTGGGGCGTTTGAAGAGGTAGAATTTTGCACGCTGACAGATTACACTCTGCGGCTGCTGGGCACAAGCGCGACTTGGCTGGGAAAAGCAGTATTATAAGGCGTGGTGTTTTACGACGTCACCGTCACATACAAGGACAAGCAATACTTGGAACGGCATTACGAAACCAATTTCAGAGGAAACCCTTGCGCAGAATACCGAGGTGAAGTACGAAAGAAGCAAAACGTCTCTTCAAAAGGCCGAAGAAGACTCATCCGGGGGTCTCAAGCACATGTACCATGTCAAGACGTGGAGCAGGGCCCGCGCCTCATCGAGATGTCCCCAATTGAAGCACCTACCAGCACCGGTACCTCAGGCTAGGAGCAACACCCGCCCAAACAGGTACGAAACGGTGTACCAGATCATCTTCCTTGGCAGGCGGCGGAGAGATCTCCGGATCATCGACAAGATCGACGATGACAGAGGTTATTGAGCGGAGCTGGTGGCACCGTCTGGGTCATGGGTAGCAGCACTACCTCTGCGTCGTGCCAGGCGTAATGCTTCTGCATAGAAAGCAGCACCCCTGGTTTGCCGGTTCATGGACTCTAGTGGTACGTTTCGCAGTCTCGCACCTTCGTCTATCAAGAACACCTTAATGGTCACAATACTGCGTAGGCTCGCCTGCGTAAGCGGCATTACCGCGGCCTACAGCTTAGGCGGGAAGTATCCCAAGTTTGAGGGAATTGCAGAGTTGAGTTTCTCCCAAGTATCTGCTCTTGTACCATGGCTCCAGCTACTCCCAAGAAGAGACACGCAGAGCGAAGGGTAAGCCTCAAGCCTGCTCACACAAATGTGACATGCATAGCGATCTGACATGACAGCATATACAACACGCCAAAGCTATATGGAAAAGGAATTTGAAATTGTCCTAACTGAAGAAAAACATCAATGTCGCTTTCGGGTATCAAGTTGAATCTCAGGTCGGCATGTAAAGCAATCGCCAGCCTACCGCTGCCCGCAATCCCAAGACACCCAACAAGACAAAAAACAATCATCAGATAGTAACCGCACAGACTCCTATTCCATGCCAGTTGGTATCAAGTAACCTCACGTCTTGTAAAGAGGATCAACAATACTAAGCCACCAATTGACGCCTGAATTGACGAGTGTAGTGCAACTGGATTATTCGTGTTCCACGCATATTCGTTACTCATGAATACAGAGGATGATCCCCGGACTTGGCGGTCGCCAAGGGAGATTCGAGTTTAAGAATACGACGCAGATTGTCCTCCATCGCGCGTAAATCGGCAGAGTGACCACTCTGGGGTTCAGGGTTGTTTCCCATGAAACCGTTGTGGACATACTGAGCTGGAGGGCCTGAAGCTGACGATTGGGGAGACGAAGCTGGACCTCTGGCACCGAAGAGGTACTTCTTCAAAGCCTCAGAGCGGTCTTCGACGGGTGGGGTTTGCGAAGTTCTCGGGCCGTTTGGCGACTGGTTAGAAGCGCCGCGAGCAGCCCGAATGCGCTCCTGATACGGCGTAGAGAAGGCAGGGCCAAGAGGCTTCCCAGGATATCCATCGAGCTCTGCTGCAGAGATACCACTAGATGACCGCGGGAGGGGCATACGATGGCCAGGATGAGTGTTGTAGGGCTTGGCGACAAACGGACTGTTGTGACCGTCCCTTGGCGAAGGAGCGGCAGGGGGCTCGGAACCGTCAGGCTGCACTGATGACTGGAGAGAACTGGAACGCCGAGCCTTCTCCTTCTCAGCTCTGTCAGCTCTGAAGATAGCGTCGAGGGGCGACTCGCGGGCCCTAGGTGCGGTGGCCGGATGCTGCGGTGTAGGGCGCTCCCGATCGGTTGGCGGAGGGGATGGCTGTTGCTGAGCGTCTTGCCTCGGGCCTGGAGATTCGGTGATCGACTTTGAGTAGAAGCTGGGCATGGGCAGAGCCGATGGAGCAGGCGAGGCGTGAAAGGTTGCCCCAGCAAAGGCAGCAGCGGCAGCAGCTGTTGGTTTGGTGTTGACGGGGATATTCTGAGGGGTCGAGCGGCGGTTATGGCGAGTAACGTCGGGCGAGGCTACCGTGTTGGGATTCTTGGCTCGGGGCTTGTTACGCGAACGCTGCTTGGAGCCAGTCTGGTTACCGGTACCGGACTGCGGCTCAGGAGAGCCGGAGTACGACTTCTGAGGGGTATGGGGATGGCCGTTTTGCTCGTAGGCGAGATTTGAGACGTTGGCCATGTCGTTCTCGGACGCATACATCTTCTGACCGGTCGACTTGTTGCCGCCGCCCCGACCCTGTCGACGACGAGTGGGCGTCGGCTTTGTTTGGTTTGTTGTCTCTTGCATTCTGAATCGAAATTGTGGCGCAAAACAATGTGTCGCGGTGGACTCGGGTAGAGACCAGCTGTACGGGGTCGATGAGAAATAGTCCCGGACTATGGTTCAGCTACGACAAAAGAGTATCGCGACGACGATAAAAATAAGATAGAGGTACAAGGCAGGGTTTCGCTTGTCTGTCTGTCTGTCGGTCGGTCGCAAGGCAGTGTGTGTATGTGTCTGTGTTTGTATGATGTCTGGTTCGATAGCGCTAGCTGGAATAAGTTATGCTTTTTTCTTGCTGGTTTTTTTCCCCCGTGGTTTTGTTGCTTTCAGGCGCCAGGGGGATGGTCTGTCTGAGGAGGCGGATTGGGAGAAAGGGAAGCCGAGATATAGAAGCCGGTGTTTGATGCAGGAAAAGCGCGTGAGTATTCTCTGCTCATGTTGCCGTGCAAACAGTGATGGGTTGAAGCGTCGAGTAGGGTGACACTGCGAAAAGGATGGGGGGCGGTGCGATAGCGTGCGGCGAAGGAGGGGAGAGGGGCTTAAGTAACCCCGGTGTTGGTGCGGGCTGCGGGTGCTGCCAAGTTTGGGTTGGCTTCGTTCGGCAGCGGGCAGGGCTAGGTGATGTGAGAGTAAGGTAAGGTAAGGCAACGGGAGGTGGCAGTCAACCACAAGTGGGTTCGCTGTTGGGTAGCATGCTGACAGACACTGCCATCCCGTCCGTGGTAACCCGTCCACTTCTTACGCCTCAATGTCCATGCCGTCCCAATCTCAGTCCCATGCTGTGTGTAGGTATGGCCTTCCCACCCCCTTATCGGAGCGTCCTCAGGTTCTTGGCGCGCCCGATAGGAACCCCACAGTGTCAAAACCAGGCCCCGTGGTGCCTGAGTCACTCCACTCAGGCCTTCTATCTACAGTGTTTAACCCTTTGAGCCTCAACTCAAGCCGTGGACAGGCTCGCATTACCTCACCATCCTTGCTTTCCCTCAGCCAAAGCGGCGTCAGCGTACGAGTCACAGCCCTGGACTACCTATGAGAGGGTGAATGCGTCACTGCTTCGATGGGGTAGGCTACTTCGAATCCAGGAAACCCGGACAACGTTAGCTTGGATGACGCCTATCTGCCCGGCTGGGTCGGGGTTAATCAAGAGGTTGGAGTTCAAGCCTGACTTGGCCTCACACGTGCAAGGTTCCTTGAGGTGGTGGACTGCTCACCTCGGTGTGGATTGTGTCAGATGGCGTGGTTCGAGCACCACTCACTGTGTCTTGGCCTTGAAGTTATTACAAGCAACCTAGAGAGTGGCGAGGCTTCCCTCAACGGTCTTCGCGAGACATCACAGCGCTACTGGGATGAGCCGCGCCTATATATCTAGATAAGTAAAGCATGTTCAAAATCACACTGGGAGCCGCGCATGACGTCGAATGCAGTCCCTCCGTTCTTCGAATGTAATCAAGAAATGTGTAATTTCAGTGAAGTCAAACCAACACCAATATAATGTTCTGCACAGTGTGCGATGTGATAAGGCAAGCGCCATTGAAGCCCCGCTGCGGCCTGGACGTGGACCCTCCAAGCAGCTGATTTAGGCTGTGCGGTAGTTGACTCTCGAGGGCCTGTTTCTGCTGCAGCTGTGCCGTTACAGGGACTTTTCGCCTATACCGTCCACTGGTAGAGCATGTTAGGCAGCAGAGCATTCTCCGCGAACCCCTCCAAGGTAGGTCCATCCCTCCCCTGCCGTAGCTGCCGCCGAGACTGCCTTACGAAATCGGACCGCCTTCGTCACTACCTTAGTAGCCTTGTCTTTGACCTGTCTGCCCGCCGCCATTCGTAGACATCACCAACACACGAGAAGCCTACCGACCGACAGCGACGAGAAACAACAAAGACTGCGGTGAAACTCACCGCATTTGCCTCCTTCCTCTTGCAAGAGCCGCCTCCACCATCTTTGTAAGTGTGCCTGCCCGCTACCCGGAAGGCTAGAATACGTCGTCCGCCACCCTTCTGACCTTGCGGAGCAGTGCTGACCATCACCCGCCACGAAATAGAAGGTACGAAATGCACGATTCACCTCAGACACCTTGGATCGATCACAGTCCGACGAACCCGCTATTCTCTTCTTCCGAACCACGCAACCAAATAGTTCCCGTGCTGACCGCCTGCAACATAGTCCGAAACCCGCCGCGAATCTAGCCAACATCATGGCTGATGTCGACATGACCGATGCGCCCGGCACTGCGATTGCCAAGAAGACCACTGACGGCGAGACCAAGGTTGCTGACGGCAAGAAGCGCTTCGAGGTCAAGAAGGTGAGCAGGTCGGTGCCGACATGCCTCGCATAAGCTTACCAGTGCCTCTAGTGGAACGCGGTTGCCCTTTGGGCGTGGGACATTGTTGTTGACAACTGCGCCATCTGCAGAAACCACATTATGGATCTCTGTGAGTCGACAGTTCGCACTGCAATCCATCTGCCTTCTGCTTCGGTTTGCTGATTGTTGTTACAGGTATCGAGTGCCAAGCAAACCAGGCCTCCGCTACGAGTGAAGAATGTACAGTCGCTTGGGGCATCTGCAACGTGAGCCCTTTCCCGAATCCCCCTCGCCTGTGTTTTTGCTGAACAAATACGTAGCACGCTTTTCATTTCCATTGCATCTCGCGTTGGCTCAAGGCCCGACAAGTCTGTCCATTGGACAACCGCGACTGGGAGTTCCAGAAGTACGGTCGCTGAGGTGGTGGAAGATCCGGACAAGAATCAACGGCAGCGCAGCAGCATGTCACGATGGCTGCGTGGGAATATCATACGAACAGTGGTACTTCCATGAAGGGGAGGGGTCTGCATGCCGCTGGTCCGAACGGCTGGCGAGTGATTGGGCCCACAAGGACGGGCACAACAGCAGATACGGAACCGTAAACTGTTACCGAAATGATGACCTCTTGAACTATTGACTTCTACTGTCCCGACTTCTCTATCGTTGGCATGTTCCGCGTCCCAGATCCAGATCCGGATCCGGATCCGGAACCTGGCTCCAACCACTTGACTGGGTATTGCTTGTAGAATGGCCAGGGAGGCACGACGAGGAGGAAAGTAAGGACGGTTCCGCCCAAACCAACATAGACTGCGAGTTTGATATCCTGAAGCAAGTAACCGATGATGAAGGAGAGAACCTGGGGGGAGCGGGCAGCAGATCAGTATAGGAAGCGCAAAGGCCGAGAATGGTGTAAGAGCTACGGGGACTTACTCCGGATGCCGAGAGGACGAGGGTTGCGAGAAGATCTGCCAGCTTCTGACCTTCAAAGTCCTATGGAAAAGCCATGGTTAGCCGATCGTCGCGAAAGAACAGTTGAATATTCGTGGTGTTGGTAACATACAATCTGACCTTCCGCCAGATCGCGAACTTGGTCGAGGATTTGATCGGCCATTGCGATTGCGGCTGTGGTGGATTAACGTAGTCGGATTGAGCAATGTGACTTGATTCCGTGCGTCGTCTGCCAAGTGGCAAGAAAGGAGGCCGCCGGTTGATGTGTCGATGCAATGTGCAACCCACTTGCCAAGTCGCGGTTCAAGAGTGTCGGGCCGTAGATGTGTGTCCGAGTTATACTACCTAGTATATTCTTCTGTCAGGTTGAGGCGATCGAGTGTCACTGGTTTAGGTAAGGGCGAGAGCTGTGTTGGAAACAAGTATGCCATTTCCCAAGCACTTGGAGCACGGACGGCATCTACGGTGTCTAATTCGCCGGCCTACTTGGCAGAGGTCACCTCTACACCACTTGCCATTGGCTGATCTAAACGATAAGGCGAACCGTGGAGACTGGGTAAAAACAAACTGTGTGAACTTGCACTGTTTCGTATCCACGGGTCGGCCCATAGAGTGGCACTGGAACCTACGAAAAAAATCCTCTCGGCTGGCCTGTGCCGGGCTCCTCCCTGGCTCTCATTGAGTCGGAATTTTCTACTGAGAACCGGGAAATCCTCTGTTATTCCATCGCCTCTTCCCGTCCCCGTCGCTTTTCTTTCACCACAAAAAACTCTCACCACGCTCAGGACAAAATCGTCCCAACTACTCTTACAGAGCCGACTTCTGCTCATTGCTTTGCACAAAGGACGGCCTCGTCTCCATCAGATTAATCCGATCTTGCTTTGATTGTTGATTCTAGCAACTACACCTGGAAACAACTTACTGGTTCCGGACAACGACAGGTCCCGCATCCTACCCTAGGGTTTAACGTCCTCGACGACCACTTGCGCCGTTCGTCAGCCAGCCTTTCTCAACACCGCTTCATTTGGCGAGCGATTCTGCTTGTCGGCCCCTTGCTCCTCGTACTGTCGAAACCATCCGCTCCTACGCACCCCGAACTGCTATTGACACCGCCTTATTCGCATCCGGCTCTCAGTTCTTACAGGTCGAAAGACCCAGCTGATCTATCACCCAACTCTCAATACCACCAAGTTGGCTTCACTCGCAGCTAACGCTACCTCCCCCACCTGTTCACTCCGAGGTCCTGGTTTCTGGGTCTATAGCGGAGTGCACAAGAAACCTCCGTAATCGGGTTTCTCGTCGCCAAACAAAGAACAACTGGAAACATCAAATCGACCGCATCGTCGCGCATCACCGCTGGCTTCTCAGCACTTACGCGCCTCCTAGGGACCGGCTTAGACTACAGCCACCCTGGAAGCTCTTCCTCGTTCAACGCACACCGCGCCGCGGCCGCGCGGAGTGCGATTCGACCACGGTCTATATTGAACGCGCATTAGTTATGGGTATCGCAGTCTGAGCCAAGAGTTGCGGAGGCTTTCGAAGAAGAACGAGTTCAGCTCTACACTTCGTCCCCCCCACACAGTCTTATCAAAACGAGCAGATAGGTCGCATCGTTGGTTGTGGAATCCAGGAACATTACCACTATTCCACCAGCAATCGCCAGTATGTCTGACCACGAGGAGAACACCTCGGAAGGCGTCTTCAAGACGCCGATTCCCGAGCTCGACGACCACCGCCACCAAATCGCAGCCAGTCCCCACCCGGAGCGGCCCCGAAGAGGCACTTTCGACACGCTCTACGGAGCGCGACTGCTAGGACCAGAGTCGGTCTCTGGAGAGCAGTCACCGAGCATTCGTGTCCGCGACTTCGAGGAGGCGATTGTGGACGATGAGGGAGGTGATGTCTCGCCCAGTGCGCGTCGTGTGCGCCGACCAACCGTCGAGACCACTACCGACCAGCGATCGGTCTCTCCGCCCAACTCGGTGAAAGCCTTCGCCGAAGCACGTCGTCGCGAGCGTGGCATGTCCTTTTCGGAGTCCAAGGCGGAGAGAAACGCCAGTGAGGAGGATCTTCACCGAACTGTCTCCATCAGTAGCCGGCGTAGCCTCCGTAGCCGCCCTTACACGGCGGACGATGGCGCTAGCCTGGCCACCAACCAGTCTGCGGCTGAGGACGTCTGCTTCCCCCTTCAGGACCCTCGACGCAAGGACCAACTCTACATCGACTTCGACTACCTCGAGAACTTCATCCATTCCGATCGAGCCTCGCGGACCGCTAGTCGTCGTGACTCTGCACGATCCTTCCCGGATCTTCGGCAACAACTGACGTCCGATGGCGGACCGCCTCAGCTGCAACTCAGCACTGTTGACGGGGATATCCTCAATATGCCCTCTGACTCTTCGGTGGGACAGGACACATCGGAGAAGGAGAAGGAGGAGGACACCCCCATCGAAGAGGTTAAGGCGAAGCCAGCGCCTGCTCAGCAGCCCCTGGATCCCAACCGCTTCAGCTTCTTCTCTTCGGCTTGGGAGTCTACGATCCACGCCGCGGAGCTTGGCGACCTGGTTCTTCCAGGTGAGGACCTCCGAGGTCTTTTTGCGCTGCCTGCCGATGAATCCGATGGAGTTTGGTGGTTGAACGTCAACAGCCCCACAAAAGAGGAGGTTACGGCCATTTGCAAGGCATTCGGCATTCATCCTTTGACCATCGAGGATATCACGACCCAGGAAGCACGAGAGAAGATTGAGTTGTTCCCGTCCTACTACTTTGCAAGCTTTCGGTCCTTCCACGCAGTTCAAGAAGACGATGGCCTGGAATACGAGCCGTATAACCTATACGTTGTTGTCTTCCGCGAGGGCACGTTGAGCTTTAGCTTCGAGCCCAACGCCCATGCATCTCACGTGCGGAAGCGTATTGCTTTGCTAAAGGACTATGTTGCGCTCAGCAGCGACTGGATTTGCTACGCCCTCATGTAAGTTTGCAAGGCATGAATAGCCCAAACGCCCTTGCTAACCCGTTCTTGTAGTGACGACATCGTGGATTGCTTTGCTCCAGTCATTCGGGACATTGAACTGGAGGCGGACGCTATCGAGGACGGTGTGTTTGTGGCGCGCGAGGATGATTCCAACCAGTTCCTGCGGTCCATTGGCCGCGTGCGCAAGAACACCATGGCTCTGATGCGTCTTTTGGGAGGCAAGGCTGATGTTCTCCGAGGCTTCACCAAACGCTGCAACGAGAACTACAAGGTTACGCCTCGAATGGACATTGGTCTCTACCTTGGTGACATTCAGGACCACGTTGTCACCATGGTTACCAACCTCGGCCATTTCGAGAAAATTCTTTCTCGTTCCCACAGCAATTACCTCGCCCAGCTTTCCATTAACAGCATCTCACAAGGCACACACACAAACTTGGTGCTCAGCAAGATTACCTTCCTAGCATCCATTCTTGTGCCGCTCAACCTTGTCTGCGGTCTGTTTGGTATGAACGTTGCTGTTCCATTTCAGGATTCCAAGTCTCTGGCTCCTTTCTTCACCATTCTCGGAACCTTAATCATCTTCAGTATTGTGAGCCTGACATTGGCCCGCAAGTACAAGTACATTTAGGGGTCAAATGCTATATGGTTGGTATTTGAGCATTATTTGACTGCTATCATGAGATAATCGACGGGTGTGTTTTGAGTAATTGCGATATGTCCGAACAGACAACAAACGGAACAGATAACAAACGCGTGTGAATGAGTTAAATAGTAATGTTACTGCTTTGACGAGCTCAGAAGTCAGTCCAATCAGCCGCGATGAGTACGTGAACTTGAGATGAACTATGCTTGGAAATGGAAAGAAGCAATCTACCTTAGTAGTTAACTTCTCTGGCCGAGATATTCGGCCAATAGTCGAGATTTTGACAACAGAGGTACTTCACACTGCCGACGACGGTTCGAAGAGTAAGGTAAGCGGTTGTGAGGTACCGTGCACGGAGGTCAGCCAATGGGAGATAGCAAATCAAGAGTGGAGACCTTGAAAAAGCTGGATAGAACAGAGGTCAACTCCATCACTCAAGGCTTTCCGTCAGTATCCCACACATTGTCGCAATCAACATACATCTTAGCGACTATTCCCTGTGCTGTTGCGCAACATCGACAAGCCATCGAGACGGAATCTTGCCACACATACAAGAACACAATTCGATTGCGTTCCACTATAGGACCAAACATCCACAACTATAGCCATGGACTCCTCAAGATCAGCCCTCGAAAACTCGGACCTCGACAAGCTCAACGACAAGGACAAGCTCGAGCTCCGCCAGTTCCTCGCCAACGAGCAACAGAGATCCCAGATCCAATCACGTTAGTACAACTCCTTCTCTGTTGCACGTCCGTCCAGGCAGGACGAGCGGGAGACCGACCTGCGAGACACGGCTCGGGCAGGGCGGCGATGCTGGGCGGCGATGCGGGTTGCTAGAGAGAACCAAGACTAACAGAGGTGCCAACGTGACAGAAACCCATGGACTCACCGAGATCTGCTGGAAGAAGTGCATCACTGGCTCGATCCGCAACTCCAAGTTGGACAAGGGCGAAGAGGGATGCCTGGCCAACTGCGTTGACAGATTCCTTGACGTCAACTTTTTGACGATGAAGCACCTCAACAACATGCGTTCCGGTTAGAAAATTTCCTCATGGAATTATGGAACAGACTAGGGAAAGCAGGCACGCAAGATTGCGAGCCACAAGAGAAGAGGACTTCACATATGAACGTCTCATGTAAAAAAATAAAGCATATGTAGGACTATGTTATAAATAGAGTGGCGCATCACAGCACTATTATAATGGCAATGAAAACGATAATGGAAACGGACAGACGATACGTTCGCACGAGTACTGAACATTCGAAGCATGATCACTGAAAGCATTGCGAGTTCCGCAGGTCATACTTTTCGGGACTGAACACGGTCATGGTACCCCAGCCTGAGTACCGGGGGAATCGATTGGTGCCCGTTGGAGATGCCACTCCCGGGGATTCTAATCAACAACCGTAAGACGCCCATGCCAATGCCTTTGTGGTCAATGAACCCGAATTGCTTTTTGTTCCATTCTCCATCCCAAATTCCCGTCAATCCCTCATGGCGGAATCGCTTAAACGAGAGCAAGCTTGGTGGCGGCGATGTCAAGAGCATCGACGTCGGGGGTAAGGCGGGCGTAGGCCTTCTTGGAGCCGTCGGGGCGGATCAGGGTGTTGATCTTGACGGTGTCGATGTCGTAGAGCTTCTTGAGGGCCTGCTTGATCTGGGCCTTGTTGGACTTGACGTCGACGATGAAGACGAGGGTGTTGTTCTCCTCAATCTTCTTCATGGCGGACTCGGTGTTGAGGGGGTGGACGATGACCTTGTGCTCGTCGAGGCGGGGCTCGTGGGGGATCGACTTGCGGGGGTACTTGGGCGCGCGCGAGACGACGAGAGTCTTGGGGCGGTGGAACGAGGTGGTGTAGCGGACCTTGTTCTTGTAGTGACCGTGGGCCTATGTGGTGAACAAGTTTTAGCCTCCATCACATAAGTCTCTTCCAGAGCGTGCCCCTCTTCCTCCCCGTCCGACCGCGGGGTAAAAAACCTCGCTGGTCGGACAGGCGGACAGGCGAAGCCAGCAGAATCCTAGAGTCTTGCGAGTTTACTTACACCCTTGAGGGTAGCCTTGGCAGCGTTATTGGCCTGCTTGGTGCCCTTAGGCGCCTTGGAGGCACCGCCTAGAGTAGAGATGTCGCATCAGCAATCGCTCTTTATATTTCAAAAGAACTCGCAAAATCTGCTGCAGCATGATGCTTCGGGAGAGGCCTGGTTGGCGGCGAGCCCCCCGTTGCCGTCGACGAAACAGGAGATTTTATCGAGTTGACTTCATCGTGGGTTTTTTGTGTATGATGTTGCGCGGGAATCTGGCGATATCCAGGCAGGAGATGGTGGTGTTCAAGTACCTTTCTTGGAGTCCTTGGGGGCCATTGTGAATGCTGGGAGGGGATATTGGCTGGCTGGGCGGGTTAGCTGGCTGTCGCGGTTGTCGAGATCTGGAAACAAAAAAGAAGAGATTCCCAAAATCTTTTTCTCCCGTCCGGTTTGATTCTGTGGGCTTAGGGCAGTGGTTTTTTTGCGCTGGCATGGTCTGTGCTTTGACCGCGGTGGCTTATGGAAGGGTGGTTCGTATGGGATCATTGTTTCGCCGCGAACGCACTCTCGACCGCCAGTTTGCAAAGTGAGATCAGTGCTTATGTAATGCTCCTGGGCCTCACCAATCATCTTCCAAGACTTACATCCATTGATATCAAAAAAATCAATTGCCAACTGCATACTCATGGTGATCAGCTAACGCCGAGCAACAGCTGAATCTCAAGCGGGAACACTGTAAACTTTAGTCGTTTCGCTCCCCGGTATCAAATTCCGCCAATACCCGCCTCACCTACAGCCAAAACCCATCAAAGATGGGCAGAAACAAGCCAGCCAGCAGGCTTCTCTCAAGTGGCCGACCTCCTACCTTCAAGAAAGCAAAGTCCATCTCTCGGAAAGAAACCAGGACTCTCATCAACACTCATCACACTTTACAGAAGAAACGCCAACAGGCACTTGCCCGAAACGACGAAAAGGAAGCGGCAGCGATAGCCGCAGAAATCTCTGCCCTCGGCGGCCTTGAAGAGTATCAACGAGCCAGTCTCCAAGGGCAGAGGGTAGACCGCGGCGGGGACAGCTCCAGAGTCCTTCTGGACTGGTTGCGATCAGCCAATCTCCAGCCCTCAAAAGCTACGGGCAGCGGGAAGGACAAGGGCGACGCCCATCGCCGATTGCGAATGCTCGAGGTGGGCGCCCTCAGCACCGACAACGCCTGCTCCAAGAGCGGCCTCTTCGAGATGGAGCTCATCGATCTCAACAGCCAACAGGCGGGCATTCTTCAGCAGGACTTCATGGAACGGCCCCTTCCCCAGGGTGACTCGGAGCGTTTTGACATCATCTCACTGAGCCTGGTGCTCAACTACGTCCCGGATCACTCCCTGCGCGGCCAGATGCTTCTCCGCACGCTGTCGTTTCTCCGCCAGCCCGGCGACGATCTATCAGAGAGCGCCCGCGCCCTGTTCCCCTCTTTATTCGTCGTCCTTCCCCGAAGCTGCATCGCCAATTCGCGCTACTTCTCACAGGATCGGCTGGTTGAGCTGATGACCCTCTTGGGTTACGTCCAGCTCGAGGGCAAAGTCACGAACAAACTGGCCTACTCCTTCTGGCAAAGAGCGACTGCTCCACGCTCTCCGTTGCCACCAGTTGCCAAGAAGGAGCTGAATCCGGGCCTGAATCGAAACAATTTCACCATCACTCTCAAGGGCTCATAAAACATCCTCTCGTACGCGCCGATCCCAGGCGTCTCGGTCTTGGAAGCCGGCGAAACGGTTTCCACGGTGTCCACCTATCTTCCGACCAGATACGGGCGACGATGGATTGCAATTAATGCACTACATTTCTTCTGCCCCTGTCGGCAAAGGCGGGCTCCAATCATTGATTCCGGCTGCCCTTTTGGGGCACCACTCGACGATCACACATCGGGCATCGAACGTGATGTAAGTTCCAAGCGTTTGTTTTTGCAGCGATCGGCGGGCGATCACTTGCGTTATCGTCTCTGGATGGACGCCTTGCAAAAGGTCACGTTTCTATTAAGTCGACGATGACCTACAATTTGCGACATTTGTCGTCAAGAAGCCATGCAACATACGATTTGCTTATCAGGAAACGCCTCTTACTAATGGGCTGTTGCCTCTACCGGCTTAATATCGCCGGATGGACAGTTGCTATTGTTGTTGTTTTGTGACAGGCATGGACCAATCGGCAAGATGCCTAGTCTGGCTCGTATGGAGGAAGTACCATCGACAAAGACTCAGACGGTGCGTCTGAGGGCGCCTTGGCTTGCGATTGTGAAGGCAAGATAACGCAATCAACCGCAGTTGAATGGTCTCCATTTTAAAATACCCTCAGCTCCTATCAACTCAGCTTTAGCTCGCCTCGTTTTGAGCACAGGATCGTCGTGTCTCGGGTGAGACTCGACCGGTACGATTACATCCATGTACCATATTCCACATTTGGAGCCAGGGCATGAGCGAGGGACATCTAGAACAGTCTCCTGTTGCATCGGGAGAGGGAGAAGGGATAAACAAGACGTGGGGATGTATGATTGACGGAGACGGGAAAGCTGAATGTGGTGTTCGCCGGATGCAGACTGTATTCGAGGCATTCCCTGCCGGTTCTCCCGATAGTGCTACGGTTTCTAGCAGAAACGTTCGTGGCCGGAAACCCCACAATCGCCAGTCTTCTTTCAATGGTTTGATCCAAGACCCTTCAGTTCGTTAAAGTCTCTGATGGGCTGTAACGCAGGGCTCAGGTCCGCCGGGAGGGGTGCGTTGCCTGGGCGGACGACGGGTATGCTCTGCATTCCAGCCGCCACGGCGGCTGCGACTTCGTGGGGGTTGTCACTGAGAAACAGCCATTCCTCGGGCTTTGTGTCCTCAAAGTTGGAGAGGATCGAGGCGTAGCTACTGGGCTCAGTCTTGAGGCCGGCGTTGACGGTATCGAACCAGCCAGAGATGAGGGACGTCAGGTCCGACGGCTGAGCGTCAGTGTAGCCAAAGAAGAGCTTCTGGGCGGGAACCGAGCCGGACGAGTAGATGACGAGGCGCAAGCCGGCGTCCTTCCAGGACAAGAGACGCTCAGCAACGTCCGGAAAGAGCGGCGCCTTGATCTCGCCCGACTTGTAGCCCTCCTTCCAGAGGTGTCCCTGGAGTGCCTTAAGGTACGAGGCCTTGACGTCGCGGCTGACGAGGTCGCGGAAGTGTGTCTCAAAGGCGGATCGATCAGACACGCACTCTTCTGGGAACGCATTCCGGTAAACAGCAAAATCGGGGTTGTCCCATTGCTTGTCTAAGGTAGCCGGAAGGGCCTCGACGGCGTAGGGGTACTACGGGGCGGAGGTTTCAGTACGGGATGACAGCGAACTGTGCCGCCGTGTGATCATGCGCACGGTGGCGACTCGGCTCGGAATGAAGAAGCCACCTCCGTGCCATCTAGGAAAGCAGCAAGACATCGGGGGGAGGGGGACTGCCCGGTACCCGAAGGACCGGGAGAGAGAAGGGTGGGGAGGCAACACATACCAGAATATCTTTGACAAAGGATATAGGACACACGGTACCCTCTGCATGTATTGAAATCTCATATCAGCATGCGCTGTCTTATCGAGGCTGAATCCACATTGTCCTGAAGAAAATTTCCCCGACGAGTGCTGGATGGGGTGAGGTGTGGTGAGGTAAAGCAAGGCAGAAAGGCTCACCGATGTCCAGCAATACGACCCTGATAGCGCCGAGGTTGGGTGCCATTGTGAGCTGTCGACGAGGGAAAACTTGGCTAGGTGCGTTGTCGGCAGCGGCGGTGACCAAGGTGAGGCTTGGTCGGAAAGAAAAAAAAAACCCCCCAAATTTGGAAAAAAAATTTCGGCGAGACGGTGAGACTCGAGACGCGACGCGCGACCGGACAATTTTTTTTGGCTTTCCGAACAGAAGAGGGCCGAAGGAAAAAAAAAACTCCCAATCCTTCAGCGACCTTCTGTTTCGCTCCCGTCGTTTCAAGCCTCCTGCAGCTGGTCGGAACAGGTTCGCTGGCGCCAGTTCATGCATGAAAGGTTGGATGCACGGGAAATTGGAAGAAGGCGGTCAAGCCAGGCCGGAATGCGAATAGGCCCGGACAGGAAAAGGGCGGTTGCAGTTTTGGCAGGTCAAGTGCAGGTGAGAGAGTGTGAGAGTGTGTGGTGTGTGTGAGAGAGACAGAGTCGGGTGCAGCTGTGTGAGTGGAGATGGCGGCGAATGAGGGACGGGAGAGCTACACCAAAACCTCAGACTCTGGGTAGCAGCCGTTGGCCAGGCCCCAATAACAGCACGCCGTTAAGGCGACCATTCTCACGGCAATCCTTGAGGGGGAACCGGAACTGAAGCAGCGGTGAGGAAGAGGCGATTTGGAACGACAAGTCACAGCATCGCGCCGTCGCCGCGGGAACAACTGACTTGGCCGCCGGGAAGACAGGCGAAGGAATGGGGAGGGAGCTTGGGTGTCTAGGTCAGGTAAGGCGGACTAGGACAGGTCAAAGACCGGACGGATTCGGCAGCCCGGGAACCGGAAAGGGGGAACCGGCGAGGAGGGGGAGGGCTGTCGAGAGTCCGTCGGCGGTCTGTCATCGTGACTCCCGTGAGGGTCGACAGGTGACTCAAGAGAAGCGCAAAGAAGCTCGTCGTCCGGTCCTCGTTCGGCGCCAACGGACGATGACGGTGCGCTCGGGTACCTAAACTGGAGCATCGCCGGCCTCTCTGCTCCAAGGCAGCTATGGGGTCCATCCTTCGGAAGCACGTTGAGGTAGAGCCATTTAGGTCGACCGGAACAACGGAGCATGCATCGTGAAGCGCGGCATCGTGGCGGTGGGAAAAGAGCCACATTAGCACGCCAGAAGGACCCCAAACGTGCCAGAGACTGGACGAAAAGCCTTTGGCCCAGGACGGACTGCGAACAGAGAGGCGTAACAGGGCCACCCGCCGGGCTGAGGTGGCTGCTTTCAGTGGGTCCCGCTGCCGATGGACCGCCGGTAGCTGAGAGCCAATTGACAGGAACAGGTGCCGGATCGAGGGACCCACTTCCTCCGGGTCTGCAGATTGGGCTGGGCGGGCTGGGAGGAGTGGAGTTTATGCAGCTTCCTGCCGTAGCTTCTCAGTGTTCCTGTCTCCCAACCAGCCTCCTTTTCTCCCTGCCAACTCTGTCACCACCTTATCGGGGCCTACAACGGCTTCCCTACGCTCAGGCACCAATATGGCAAGCACCCCGTCGTGGAAATGGATGCATCGCATTGCAGGCAAACAGGCCGAGAAGGACAGCCTTGGTATGCAATAAACACGGCGGAATGGGGCCTGCAGGGTTCATCGTATCGTCGTTACGTTGAACGGCAGCCACGAGTCTCTGAACCCCTTTGTTTCTCGTTTCTGTCTGCACCCATGCGCTTGGCCCATGATCTCCCCTCTCTCTCTCTGACCTCACATTCCAGTCAAGCATGACAACCGACCAGAGCTAGTGGTCCTGCTAGCCCCACGCGCCATGCCGCGTCCGTTATCCGTTTTGTCTTGCTTGATCAGGAGAGTTCCAGGCTAGGGGATACCCCACTCTGTCCGACAACGTGTCTCGCCGAGATGCTGTGGTAGTGGGCTAAACATGGGGACGCGGGCTGCAGCCACCGCGGTACCTCATGCGATGGCAGATGGGTATGGGGAGAAGATCAGGGACGTCTGCTTGGCTGGGTAGGAGGAAGAGGGAAGTGGGATCGAGGGCGAGGACGAGGACCAGCCGGCGGGAATGCCGCCCAGCGGCGAACGGACCCGAGACGTTGACCAAAGGTGCCGTAGTGCTTCACGTCGACGACAGGTCCCATCCTGCCCATTGCTAGCTAGCTGGTTGTCACTTTGCATGTCGTACGGCAAGTCATACACAAGCATGTCTTACAGTAGGTAGTGGCAGAGTTCGAGCCGTGACACACAGAACAGGGCATCCTTAACGGAGAGCAACGTATGGCCACCCGCGAAATGTCCACTACCAGTGAGAACCGCGCCAGAACTCAATATCGAGCAGGGCGAACAACGTTTTGGGCAGTTTGTCGTCAGGTAGGTATCCGTACTTGGATGCAGCGTAACGGAGCCCGGCTCTGGCCCGATCTCGCCTCTGCAGGAATAAGTGTGTTAGGCGAGGGAGGCCAGCAACCTTTCTGCTGGCCACATGAACTGTCGCCGCCACCCACCCTCCCGACTCCCGCCGATGAAGCCTTGGGACTGACAGAGCGAGGCATGAGCATGCAGGCAACTCGCTGTAGAGCTGCCTCAGCGTGGACAGCTATCTCGTACGAAAATGGGGAACTTGGAGCTCGGACTTGGGATCTCGGTAATATCCAAGCCAGGACCCGCGGAGATGATAAGATGTCGAAGAGTCATTTCGCCCTGCGTGACTAACTGACTGACTGACGGACAATGAGCCACCGTGTGTTTGCCTGCCCGAATCCTGGTCCTGCACGATGAATACCATATGCCCCGAAGCTCGCCGCTCACGGCGGCAGAAACCTACCCACCGCCGCCGTGGCTCCATAGCCAATCCTTACCGCCCCCATGGTTTCCCGCGTCTCTAACATTCTGTGTTTCTCCGGAAGCGGCAGGCATCGACGTTCGCCATAGTGGAGGAACGACCTGCCATATTCGCCAGCCGCGAAAGCAAAACGCCCAAAAAAATATGCCCTGCACTTCCCAGGGGCTGGCGGCAATCTTCATACGGCCTTTTAGCCTAAGCGAAGCCAGTTGCGCAGAAATGCAGGCCGCAGCAGTGCAGATAGGGTCGCGGGTTTGAGACATGATAAAGCCATGGATTATTGGGACCCAGCAGAGACCAACGAGGCGATCGGCTGTTGTTTGTTGTTCCTTAGGTCACGACCGCCCACCTCTGGCACTTTGCAAGCCTCAGCTGGGATGATGTGCTGCGCCGTGCAACGCGATAGGTCGGGGATGTCTCCGTACGTTCGTACATGCGTACGTATATTCGTAGGCTTCTAAGTGACCGTAAAAAGGTGGCCCCGGTGGCCGAGTCGCTCGCTCAGCAAAAAGGGCAATGGACGGTCACACGACCAAAGCGTTGGGGACGGCTGGTCCGGGATGTGGAACATGGATGGGAGCGACACACGTACGCTGTGAATGCCGAACGGCGACGGGGGCCGCCCTCATCGCCCATTCGGAGGAGCATCGAACGGGGCAAGCGGCCGTGCCCGTGTGACGCCTTTGCTCATTTCATTTCCCCGCATTGCGATTCGACCTGCCGAGCCATGAGAGCTGGTGGGAAGGAAAGGTGAAAAGGGATGATCGACCAAGAGGGAGAGTCATGTTGGACGACCCCGCTGTCCACGTATCCGATATCGTATCAGTCAGTCCGAGAAACACACACATGATACCTTTGAGAGTCCACATTGGGATGATGAAATGCGGACACAACCTCGAACCTTTTTTTGGGGAAAGCAATTTGGGTTCATGGGGATGACGAAGGGCGTCAATATCTGAAACGTTCTCAATGGGCGGTCGTGATCAGCCAGGGCCCAGCCGTGCCAGCGAGGCGGGCGCTACGTGCACGTACAGGTGTTATTGCGAGGAGACGGTTCCGAGCCTCTGAGAAGGTCTGGCTGGGCCGGGAGAGGAAGGCTCGAACGAGGTGGCCTTGGAGGGGTCAGATCAGCATGCAATCATCGGACGAAGGTTTGACGTTAGAGGCCCCGGACTCGGAATGGACCAGATTGGCGATACGACTCCAGGGGGCGGCGGTTCAAGGTTGCAGCGATGCTGTAATTAAGGACACACTGCACACTATACCAGGGAGCAGCAGATCGGGGGTGAGAAGCCAAGGGGCCTAGGACGGAGGTCGAGATATCGGTACCTGGCTACCTCATCCACGATAATGCAAGATAACATTGGTCCTGGGGTACAGTACACTAGTTGGTGGCCATCCGTTATCAGTATCAGCGAGCATCTTATCTTTGGTGTTCCGAGGAAATAGGCAGAGAGACTGGGACCCTGGATGTCTTGGGAAGTTGGAAACAGGAAGAGGGGGAGGAGGATCCAGAGAGGATGCTCCAATTGAGAAAAGGGTCCCGCGAAGAGAAAAAAACCACATTCGTCTTTGTTCTGGAAAGCCCATCCAGAGGCCTAGAGGCCTGAGCTGGGGACACGCGGCGGCGCTTGGGGACCTCCTAAGTTCCCGGGAAACTCTGGGGAGAGTCGTGGCTATCCGTGAGTGCGCTTTCCCTCTTGGCACGGATGGGAGAGGCAGGATGGAGACGGGATTGACGGTAAGGATACTTTGAATGGGTTCAGGACGCGATGTCGGTGTGGGATGGGCTGGATTACACTTCTGTCCCATCTGCAGGTCGAAAGGAGTGCAGTGAGATGCGGCCAATGAGACGGAGGGCAGGTGAGCAAGTGAAACAGAAACTCGAGGAATCCATTCGACAGACTGTGTGATGTAAATAGCTGCTGGGCGGGCACAGGTGACCATCAGGGAAAGGGAGAGCGCCAGCTGGAGACCACTGTGCGACGTGTCTGGGACAGGACTGTAAGTTGGAGAGGGCCGTATTGGAGGGGGGTAGGGGGTTGCCTTGGGAAGACGGTTTAAAAAATAAAAAAACCAAGTCAAAATAATTTGGGAAAAAGCCGTTTCCTTGTTCACTCTCTACGTTTGCCTGAGTCCCGAACCCAGTTCTCTCCATTTCCCCAACTCTGATTGTCGCGATGTGGGTTGCATGAGGACGCGGCGCTGTCAATGGGAACTGGCCATCTGTCCTGTCCTGTCCTGTCCCGTTCTACTATGTAATAGTACGTACTATGTCTTCAGCATGCCACTCAGTGCTGCTGCTATTCTTGTTCAGCACTGCGGTTCGGCAATGCAGCTCATTTCAGGAGTCATAGTCAATGGCCACCTGGGTCCGTAATCTGCCCTGGAGTCCCTGAATCCGTCCCCACGAGTCCCTGGGAGGGAAGCGAGTGACCAAATGACGATATTCTTCAGCCATGATCCAGGTCGTGATTTACGAGCATTCTGGGCCTCATTCTTGAGACGGATGCTGGACCCATTGGCGTTGCCACTCTATCTTTGGAAGCTAAGCCATAACCGGCACCTCCCTTCCCTCGTCGACTCCAGATCTGTTAGTCAACAAGGGTAGCTTATGTAATGTGGGAGCCAATAGGGAATGCCGTGGTCGTGGCGTGCTGCTGAGTTATCCACCGTGTCTTCCGAAATCAAGGCTCGACGACCACGACCAAGTCATGGGGACGTGACGAATCGAGAAGGACCCCTTTTCCTTTCTACCCACACGGTGCCCCATTACCTAACCGCTTTTGGCTGCCGAAGCCCATGCTGCACTCAGACGGCGCTCTTACGGTACAAAGCAAGGCAGGCCCGGAATGTGTAGTGTGCACATCATGCGGTACACGCCGGGCTGCTTGGCTGCTGAGGCTGCTGAGGCTGCTGGTGTACCGTACCTGGCGTGCATGGCTCCCGTTGGCGTCGACGAGCGAATGGGCTCCTGGCAATGGGCATTGGCGCTATGGACGTTAGCCCTGGGTCCATGGCCGTCTGGGCCGGTCGACCGGTCGCCGTCAATGGTCGCGCGCTTCCCGCCGCGCCTTGCCCTGCCCTGCCCTGTGCCTGTCCGGTTAATGGACGAGCTCGAATCGAGCAAATCGAAGGGGGGGCCTCGACGGCGCCGGAGACAAAAAGAGAGGAAGCATGGGCAGCTCAACACTGGCACACGACACACCCCCGGGACGCCTCACTGGCTGGCGAAGACTGGCGAGCTGGCGTCTGGCAGAAACTTGGGTGGCAGCCCCGTGGTGGCAGCGTGGCAGCTTGCATGAATTCTCGATACGCGGCCGTCAGGTCGTCCTTCCAGCGGGCACTGGCGTGGGCTATACTTGCTGGCGACGTACCGACAGGGCGGTGTGGCAACTAACCACGCAGCTGAGTGGGGTCGGACCCCAAAGAATGGCTGCCCATCGGTGGTCGTGGCTACCGCGGACTGTCAGGTACGTAGCCGGCAGTGCTGCAGCAGCCTGCGCCTGCCAGGCCTCGGGGGGTGTGAAGTTGGGTGCGAAGACGTTCGAGTGTGTGTTGCCGCTGCCAGCGCGGGAACGGAGGCCGTCTAGCAATCAACAGTCCGAGATACGGTGCGTTGCTGCAAAACAAACGGATACGGTACGTGTCTGGGTTATCAATGTTTGAGCTCGTTCCTCGCGCTTGGCACTGCAACCTGGCTTCTTGACGATGATTGAACCTTCTGGTTCCTAGTCACTTTTGCGTTCTTTTGCACCCCGCCAGCAGCGACGACGACAACCAAAAAAACACTGTTTACATGCTGGTCCACCAACGGCCGACAGACTACGTAGAGATAAACAGACAGACAGACACCAGCAGCCTTATTCACCCACGCACACGCAAGCGTGTCGTTGATGTCTCGCCATGCCCAGCACCAGTGTCGCACTCGAAGCAGAGCACATTGAGATGGATAGTCGGGTGTTCAACCCCAGACGGCCCCTTGCAGCCACTCGCAATCACACCTAAGACCAACCTCAGACTCACTCTCGATCAGCTGCGAGCCTCGCAGCGGCTTCCCCATCTCGACCGTCCCCCCAGTCGAGCAGCTTGCCAACCATTGGCCCATTCATGCAGGTCGCAGGGGTTCGCCCGCTGTCTCGAAAGCCTAGTTCCTCGAACCAAGTTTCCAAACATCGTCCTGTCGTCGCACTGTCGCATCGGTCAATCTCCTTGGGTTTATGGGGTACCTCGAACCTCTGCGAAATTACGCGGTACCGTCTCCCAGTGCTCTGCGGGCCTGGCGTATCTCGCTATCGACATTCGTCATAGCTACAGTGCTGCACGAGTTTAATTGGTTTGGCGGCACCCCTCCCACCCAGCAGGCGTCCAACGTTCCTCCCAAGTTGTTATTGTTGCAGCGTCCGTATTGTTGATGTTTATGTTGATGGGCATTAGTTGTCGGCTCCGACCCCGTGTTTACTTACACACGCCGATCCATCTACGCGGCGACTACATTGCGGTAACGCGTCTTCATAATCTCGCTGCCGAGGACACAGTGGTATCTTCGGCAGCCCAGGAAATGATGGCGTTTTGGTCATCGCCCCCTTGATGCCGGCGGAAGACACGGGCGACGGGTCGATGTCGTGCTCCGTTCCTGATGAATCGAATCCAACCCGTTCAATCCAGTCACCCGCCCCAACGATGGGTCGGCCGTAATCAAGTTCCCGTCTGCGAATCGCTGGGGGCGGGCACGGAGTTACCTCATCGCCTGCCACCTCGGTATCCCAACAGAGTACGGAGACTTATGGATAACGAGGTATGACTCTTGTTTCCTCGCTGGCAGCTCCCAGCAAGTTACGGGGCCGAGAAGAGAGATGATTAATTGCTCCTATGACGGGGCGGCATGGGGCTACAAGTTGGGCGAGAAAGGCCGTGCCGGGGACCCGTCGATAATCCACCGTGGGTTATGTCAACAGTCACCTGGCCTGCTGCGTGAGGACGCCCGAGTGCCTTGGAGCTGGTGGGCGAGGAGCTGCCAACTAGCTCTGGTGGCTCCGGCTAGGTTTACCAAGTCACATTACTGAACGCCCGCCCACAGCTAAGGTATCTCTCCCAGGAAACATCGGAGTAGAGGTACATGGAAGTGCCGTCAGTGCGTCAGCCAACACTGGGCAAAGCGTTCCGTTATGTCACCGCTGACGGCACAGTGTCACAGTGCACACCCTCCGTTGCCGTCTGAAGTGGTCTAGGCCATGCTCTGGCTCTGGAAGGTTTGCCAACTTGACGGAACGGGGCCTTACGGGACTAAACGGAGGGAACGGGCAAAGAAACAGACAAACAGGCCATCCAGAGACGAGAGGCGGGACATCTGGGCTGACCTTTTCCCTTGATCAGTCTGTCTCCTATGTCGGTTCTCTCTGTCAGCGTTTGAGGTTTGTGGAATGCGGTAACAACAGCAGCACAGAACAGCAGAGCAAGTGTCGGTCTGCCGATTGCTATCATGAGCATGGATGGGCATTGGCATAGACATGGCTGGGTTGCGTTGCATCGCGTTTCGTTGCCAGCCCAGCCAGAAAAGCAAGCTCAGTCCCGTCGTGCAGGAATACAGACAACTCTGAAGCTGGGGGAGGATTGACTGGCTGGGGCGGAGAGAGACAAGCAATCCTGCTGCAAGTTGGTCAAGCGTGCGTCCCGGTCGTCCCACTCTCCTCCCCCCATCATTCCACGTAGCGCGCCATGCTCCATCGAGGTACGTACTCTCTTTCGCCCACCGCCTCTCTCGGTCCCCTTCCTGGTTTCCACCTGGCTGAGGTAGCCACCCCCCGTCGTCGTTTTCCTACCGTCAGGCTCCCCAATGTGAACCGTATCTCTCGTGCCGCCGTCAAGGTGCCTAGCACCCACACCGTGTCTTGGCTGGGGAGTACGTCGCAAGTACCTCTTTCACTCACACTCATGTTGCAGCGAGAGAGCGAGAGAGAGTGTGTGTCGCAATACGCAGTCTCGAGTACGTACTCGCGCTCGCCTTTCCAACCCCGGTCTGCCTATCTCACTCGCTCTCTGTCTCTGCCTGTCCCTCTCCCGCTCGCTCACTGCCCTTTCCCCATTCCATCCCAACTTATCCAAGCCAATCCATCCTCGTCCATTCACCTCCATCTTCTTCTTTCGCTGTCCGTCTGTTGCTCATACACACTCACACGTCCTGCTCTCGTACTCTTGCACTCACACCTCTCTTTCTGTCACCTTGTCTTCCCTGCAACAGCCTACCCACCCTTTTCCTTCGTCCAACCTACCGTCCTCTGCCTGCCTACATCCTGCACTTACCTACTTTACTCTAATACTCCCCCTTCATCATCCTCACCCCTTCCTTCTTTTGCTTTCCCTACTCTACCGTACCTGATCCTCATCGTCGTCAACGGCCTCTCTTACTCTCCTTGCTTGCTAGCCACCGCCCTCCCATCCCGCCTTAACCTCCTCCCTTGTCATCTACACATCTCCTCCCCCTTCTCTCTCTCTCTCTCTCTCTCTCTCCGCGACCTCGTCCTTGTCACACCCGCCATCGCCAACCCACGGATACTCGCACCGCCAATCCAACGCTTCCACCCGCGAGTCATTCTGCAAGCAATCACGCAATTCCACCACCTCCGTCGAAGAGTTGACAACACTTGCACCCGTCAATCCATCGAAAGAGAGATAAAGAGAAGAGAGGCCTCTTGGACTTCGATTCAATACCAACTCCACGAGCCTCGGCATTTGCTGTCATCGAACATCGACTCACACCCGTGTCCTTTGACTCACTTGTCCCCGCCTTTGCCTATCCTCAAGGCCTCGTGCACTCCACGCAACGACACACCTCTACATCTCATCCAAACAAGAGCTACGTCCTGCAACCTTTCGTCTCGAACCGAACGACTTTCGTCATCCGATTCGTTCTATCGCACGCTCGTCGACGCTCGAATGCTGCTGTAGCCATTACCTTTGCCGATCCCGGTAGTCAGCTTGCTTGCAAGCCGTTGCATTCACACTTCGACGACAACCACCTTCGGCCATCGACCACCTGTCACACCGGCCTTCGTGCCATCCAGAGTCAGCAAACCGACAATCAACCACAGCCGCTAGGCGCCGCCGACTCGCAACCTTTTCCGAATTCTCTAGTCAGGAATCGGTATCTTCGTTTCTTCTGCAACTCAACGTACACACGTTGACCTTGCACTCCCTTCTGTTCGACCTCCGGGCGCCACTCTCTACCTTTTTCCATCAAACTTGCTCTATTTCAATGTCCTCATAACGATACTCCTTTGTCTTTTCCCCCGGACCCCGACGTCCCAAAACCGATACGACCAAACAACAACCAACAACACCAGACCTTCGCTTTCATATGTCCGATAACAGCAAAAAAATACCCTCGATGAGCCTCTGATACGTGAACGAATAGGAGTTAAATATCGTCTTGTTTCCTGTTAGATTTGTTCTTTCTAAAACCTGTATATTCTTGGCAACCACTCAACCGCCACCTGCCTCGAACGATTACACTTCGTTACGAAGCTACCACCACTCACACGCCTCATCTCAACTCTCCAACTCTCCGAATCCTCTTTCAACGAACCGTCGACATTTGAAGAAAAGCTTGCTTTTAAGGCTGCATCGTGACCTTCGTCGCCGCCTCGTTATTTCTTCGCTCGATACCCTTGCTACATCACTTCATTTTCCAGTTTCGACATGGCATGCTTGAGAGACAACTTTCAGAATGGCGTGTTGCTCGATGGTCGGTATAAGACCATCTCTCCCCTCAACCATGGCTCCTTCGGCATGGTCTTCATGGCCAAGGACATCAAAACCGACGAGACCGTCGCCATCAAGTGCTTGACTAAGAAGGAAGCTGCTGATGACCTCGGCTTCGACTTCGCCATCGATGAGAAGTCGGAGGAGCTCGTGCTCCACAGCCGCCTTGGATCGCACCCCAACATTGTCAACCTCCTCAACACCTTTGAGACCGAGGCTCACCTTTACCTCGTTCTGGAGTTCTGCCCTCAGGGTGACCTGTACGAGGCCATTCGCAACGGTCACGGACCTCTCGAGACCGAGCACGTTCGGCAGTTCATGTTGCAGCTTGTGGATGCCGTCGATTACATCCACTCCAAGGGTGTCTTCCACCGAGACATCAAGCCCGAGAACATCTTCCTGACCAAGTCTGGTGACATGAAACTGGGCGACTTCGGACTTGCGACGACCGAGAACTGGACTTTGGAGAACACCGTCGGTAGCGACCGCTACATGTCCCCCGAGCAGTACGACTCGGCCGGCGCCGGCTACTCTCCTGCCCAAGCCGATATCTGGGCCATTGGTATCTGCCTTCTCAACATCCTCTTTTCACGAAACCCATTCACCACCCCGACCGAGGCGGACCCGCTCTTCCTGGACTTCTCCAGGGACAAGCAGTCCCTCTTCGACGTCTTCCCTTCCATGTCGCAGGACACTTACGAGGTAATTGTCCAGTGCATGAGCCTGGACCCCAAGAAGAGGTCTCTCGTCGGTGCCCGTGCTGCCCTCCAGCGTGTTGTCAGCTTCACCACTACTGAGGAAGACGACGATGACTTCTGCTGCGCCGAGCGTCATGTCATGGCCAGCGCCAACCGCGAGCCTCTTCGCACACCCTCCATCCAGAGCCCTCAGGTCGACCAGGGTGCTTTCCCCTGGGCCAAGGCCCTACACACTACGCCGCCCAAGCCCATCCGCCAGCTCAGCGCCATCGCTGATGACGAGAGCTACACCGAGGACTTGTTCTCCAAGTCAGGAGAGACTGCCGACTGGTTCAGCTCTGCTCAGACGCCGTCCATCTCTTCCACCCTCAACTCTAGCCTTGGCGTCTCGATGAAGTCGCTCCACATTGGTCGACCCATGAAGGCGGCGCCTCGCCCCATTCCCAAGGTCTCACCCATGGCTGGCTCTCTTCCGATCAACATGACCAAGCCCCGGAGCAACCTGTCTTCCATGTCCTTGGTTTTCGGTCGCAAAGATGTTGTCTCCAAGAGCTGGAGCGACATGTGGGACGAGGATGAGGAGGAGGAGGAAGCGGAGCGTGAGAAGCAGATGCAGTCTCTAAAGGACCTCAACTCGAGGACTTGGAGCCACGACAGCAAGCTGGATGAACAGAACGATTGCGATACGGTTGACGCTACCCCCATTGCGACTACCCCTCAGCGTTCGCACCATGACAGCGCCAAGCTGATCCACAACGACATTGACAGCGACCACGCTGCCGATGGATTCTTCTTTCAACAGTCGTCTCCACCAAAGTCGAAGCCAATGCTGACCACTCGTCAATCGCCCCCTAAGCGGGACAACCTTGACAAGTGGTCTGCTTTGGGTCAGCGCCGTCGCGGGCTCACGGGCTCGTCGTACTCGCAAATGTCACCCGAGTTTCCTCGACAACAACGAACAATTGGGCTGGGATACAATTCTTATGCAGCGGGAGTTTGGGACCACACTGGGCATCACAACAATCACATTACTCACAACAATCACATTACTCACAACAAATCACCTAAGGAAAAGGTCAAGGATTGCCCCTGGAATAAGGGCAGAGATTGGAATTACTGGCGCAGGGAGAAGCGCAATGATCTCGCAGATGTCGAGTGGGTTGGTGGCTGGCAGGAAGCGCATTCCTAGCCGGGTCACCTCTTGTGGTTGGGTTCTCACCAGCAGGACATCGCCGGTCCCCTCTGTGTTTCTTGCCGTGGCATACTAGTCGCGGCTCGACAACCCGAAGGGCACAATCTGGGCAAGACATGTTACCTGTTTGGATGATGGAGCTCAACTCGCTTTCTGTGTATTAGATATCTCCAGATTAATGAACAATACCAGAAGTTACCCACTCAAAACAATTCATCATGCTCGTTTTTGATGTGCATGCTTCCAACGCCTCATCGATTATTCATCTAAAGACTGCTGATCCCCAGCTTTGCCAACCTTTTGGGTCTTGACATTGATGCTACGTCATGTTACCCCTCACTTGACTTGACTCGTGCGATCGTCAACAACCCCATAACAGCAGCAGATAACAGCCACAAACAGTGCTATGCAATCTCGGCGCGGCCGACAGCTCGGGCAGTGTCCAGCGCCCGTCCACAGTTCGTTATCGACGTACTTTCAAGGAGTTGGAAAAGGTCTTGGAAGGCACTCGATTGAACCATAGGCCCGCCAGCTACAGCGAGCGTCTAATCGGGGCGGGGAGGGAAAAGGGGGGCGCGCATGAGGGAGTCGCGGCTTATCATGCCTTCATGGACTGCCGCAGGGTTTGGGTTGTCGTCCGCGCCATGCGCGCCATGCGCGTCTTCGGCGGGCCCGGGTCCGGGCCCTTGTTGAGCTGGGCGAGGTGTGCTTCGGGACGCCTGTATGTAGGCCGGGCGCGCTCTCTCTCTCTCTCTCTCTCCCTGTCTGCCTACTTCACGGGTGACCGGGGGCGGGAATGGGCAAGCTTTTGCTGGCTGTGCCTTTGCGGCCCTGTTGGTACCAGTCCCGTTGGGATGTCGGCGATGAGATGGCTGTAAACATGGATTCGTTGGCGTGGTGGGTGCCCGGTCTGAGAAGAGGCTCGCGGATGAAACGGGGATCGACCTTTATCGCCTTGGCAGAAGGGCGAGCTGATGAGGTTCCAGGTTCGTCAGTCTCGCCAGCCAACGCTACAGATCAAGAGAACTCCGGATGGATCGAGGCTCACAAAAGGACTCGAGTGTCGAGCCATGAACGATACCGAGCATGTTTGTCTATTACGTTGCAAACTACCATGGCTCCCCCCCCCCCCAAAATATGACCGGGAGCACACCACCGAAGCCGGGATGCACGATGATCAGGACCTCACGTACTGGGACTAATGCATAGAAAGAATTACATGGGTATAGTACTGTAGACCAATAGTCCGCAAAGACTGCGAGGTGGGGCCGGTTTTTTATATATGTAAACAACATCGTCAAGCATCTATACATTGCCGTAAGAGACAGACCGTAGGTACACGCCGGCAACAAGGACGTGGGGAGGGGGATATAGCTGCAAAGATGCAGAAAGCAACCATTATATCATGCAGGCATCAGAACCCAGATGCCACCAGCGCCATGCAATGAGCCGATTTGGGCGGTTATTCAGGACGCCAACCATGCCACGACGAACACAAGCACCACAAAGCCACCACCGCGCGACTTATTCTGCGCCAATGAGGCTCTTGGGCAGGAAGGCCCAGACCGTGCCTACCACGGACAGGATCGTCGAGATGGTCATCAGGACGTAGCACAGGAGCTTCTCCTGGGGCGTGATCTCCTTGCTGAAGAGCTTCACGTAAAACATCAGAGGCAAACTGCGAGGAAGCGGTCAGTCGAGTTGTCCACAGGGTCACAGTCGATTAATGGGGCGTTAAAGGGGCTCCACTCACAGCACACAAATGGTGAAGCACAGCGCACTACCCATAAACGCCATGATGCTGTCGAACGCCGGGAACAGGATGGAGATGACGAGGAAGACCAGGACGGTCACTACCCTGATGGCGACCTTCATGATGCCTCTGAAAGTGGCAGAGCGGCCGACCATGACCGAGCTGTCGGCCACGGCCTGCTGGTGGATGCCGGTCAACACCTCCAGAGTCGCGACAATCGGCCGGGCGTTGAGCGGGATCTTGGTCAGAGGGATGATGGCGATGAAGACGCACAACAGGAAGTTGAGCGCGCGCGGGTAGCCGCTCGTCTGGAGGATATTGGCCGTGATCTCATCCATGACGTTGTCGCCATACATGAGGAGTCCTACGACGGCCGTGAAGGCGTCGAGGAGGTACTACATCGCAGTCAGTATTTGGTGCGACTAGGAAGCAGCATCATTGCATGTCAAACTCACCACGGACGTGAAGACCGTCTTGACGGCCCGAGGGTACTTGTGAGGGTGGCGCATGTCCCTGTAGATCTGCAAAAGCTGTCAGTATACAGCATTCTCCCGTTGTGGTTGGAAACACCGAGCACTCACATTGGGGAATACACTGTGACCACCCCAGGGGCTCATGAGCAGGCCGAAGCTCAACGGCAACGTGCCCCAGTTTGCCGGGAACAAGTACGTCGTGGCCGGCTCAATGAGGGAGCCAGGTGTCGTCGGCTTGATGAGCCCGTCAACCACCAAAATAGCCACGACTAGCCCGATACGTCAGCCAACTCCTCCAAAACGAGCAGGGGAGGAACAGAACTCACTGCTGAAACACGACACGATGCCAATGACGCTGGTAAAGCTCAACAGCCGGAGGGGGAGGAAGTTGAGGGGAATCATGATCACGGAGCAAAGCAGCTTCCAGGCGTTGACGCTCATGAAACCCGGGAAGAGTAGGGTCAGAGAGTCGGCAAAGAGGACAATGAGAGCGACGCAGGCAGCCAGCAGCTCGAGGGTGAAGAGAATACTGGTGGCAATACGTGCGTTGCGGCCGTACGAGATGTAGGCCAGGTCAGAGAAGGTGATCAAGCTGGCGTCGAGATCCATGCACTTGGCCAGGAGCTTTGCCGTGTACGCAGTCACGGCCGCGGAACCGGCCAGAATGACCATGCCGCAAATCCAGCCGGCATACTTGATACCCATGGGCAAACTCAAGAGACCGACACCGATCAGAACGCTGCGTTACAGGTCAGCAACTGCACTGCCATCGGTAAAAATGTATAGAGGTGGGGCGCGACTAACTTGATCGAGTTGAAGATGGTCTGAGGAAGCGTGGACTGTCCCTCAACAGTCAAGATGATCTTTCCGTCCTGCTCGACCTCCTTCACGAGAATGGGCATGCTCTCTCCGTCTGGCACATTGCCCCCTGCCTCTTGCTGCTGGCGCCACAGCTCGCCAGCCTGCGCCATTGATGGCGGGTCGACATCCTCTATTGTGCCGTACGTCCTGTACGAGCTGTAGCTGCCAACCAGCGGCGGCGTCGCCAGATGGGGCGGGACTGCGAAGATGGACTGCGACGGCCGGCGGCCGCTACCGAAGCTCGAGCCGTACACGGCGCCCGACATTTCTGCCTCGACGGCCTTGCGCTCTCTGTCGCGGAAGTCGTTCTGGACCAGGCCGTCGTCCGCCACCGAACCGGAAGAGCCATTCTGGTGTGAGGTGCTCGGTCCCGTCTCGGGCGTGGCCTCGAGGTGCTGTCTGAGAAGCGAGGTTCTCGGGTGCGAGTCCGACTCGACATGGCTTCGGGAGTAGTCGAGAGCCTCATTCGACCCCGAGGCAATGGGGACCTGGTCTGGTGCGAAAACGAAGGATGGTCGTTGGGGATCACTTCGGCGAAGCCTGCTGCACGCGCCCAACTGCGAGTGAAGGAGCGAATGCTGTTGACGCCGCCAATGTCTGTGATGGCAGCGAGGTGTCGCGTCACTGAAGACCTAAAGGAGGGGTGTGGGTTAGCGGTGGGGATCGCATGGAAACAACGACGGGAGCAACGACGGAGGCGACATTCGATGCCGCGAGTGCGTTGCAGAGTCTTTGTCCAAGCACCAACCTTCTGCGAAGCCCATGGGAGTTGCCGCCGTAGCCACCTTCGTCGTCCTCTCCCAGGAGCGACTGGTCCTCGGCGACGGCATTGGAGTCGATACTCACGGAGCGCTGGGGGGAGGCGCCCCGTTCGTACTCGTCCCAGGTGGACGGGTTTCTCGAGGCCATGAGGGAAACAGGGTCGTCGGGTAGAGGACTGTCGCGATAGGGGTTCTATGAAAGGGTTGCCAGAGCGAGGGTGCAATGGCAGAGAGGAGCGCGACAAGAGAGAGGGAGAAAAAAAAAAAGAGGTAGACCACGGAGAGGTAGATTTCGAGGTGGTCGCGCAGCTGGCGATTTTTCGTTGCGCGCGGGCGTTTGGACGTGTATATACCTGGTGGGCAGTAACCGTAGCACGGCACGAGACGCACGCTACACGCAGTGCCCAAAAAAGACCGTGTAAAGATAGGTCGCAAATCTGACCTTTTGCACCCCTAGCAGAGGCGGTCCAAGTGGAGACGTCGCGGGAGATGAGATGGTGCTAGTGCAGTGGGTTGTCAGAAGCCCAGGTTGTCGCAGGTAGTATCTGGCGAGGTCCCAACTGGGTTGTTTTTTTCCTTGCTCCACGTCAGGGTGGGTATGGAGGGCGGGCACAACAGAGATAACAGCAATTGAGGTTACGTCGCAGTGTGAGGAGAGAGAGACGAAGCAGATATTCACGTCGAAAGATGTGTGTTGGTTGGAGGTGTCTACGGGACCGAGGGAGAGGGAAAGCGAGAGAAAAGGGTGGAAAGACGTCGCAGAACCGGAGGCGGAGGAAAAGTGTAGATGCTCGAAAGTCAGGGAATCTTGTCAGTCGAACCAAGAAACCACCCCAGCCAGTGAAGCCAGCCAATGCTTCTTCAGCTTTCCGACAGACCAGGCGGGCTGCGGAAGGAAGCCGGAAACCAGCAATCGAGGGGTAGGAAAGGGGATCTTGGGGCTCATTGGCATAGACAGGTAGGGGATATTGAGAAGAAAAAAAGACTGGGTTAGGCCGTTTATGGTTTTCCTCTAGTCATTCGGCTGTCTAAATCCAAGGTTATCATCGGCGGTACCGGCCTATGGGGAAATCGCAGATGCGTCGATATCTGCAGATTGACCTGCATGACGGCATCCGACAAGGTAGTAGGTAACTACATAGCGCCACATAAGAACACGTCCAATCCCAAGCTCCCAAGATGTCGAAGGGGAATGCAAATAGCAAACAAAATGGCAGATAAAAAAACCACACGATCGAAGCGTCAAGTGGGTTCAACGTTGGCACCACGGCCGGGTAACAGATCCGGCAAGACGCGGGCGGGCGGACAGAGGAGAACAAGTCAGCTGGATATCAGGCCTTGGTTTTCATGACGCCGCCTGCATCGTCAAAGGTTGGCCGGCTTATCGCGGCGGCGCCTGTGGTTGGACAATGGGCGACCGGCTCAGACCTGCAATATCTGCAGGTTGCAGGGCCTCGCAGCGGCCAGAACTTGCCCAACCCCGGCTCCGCCCTCCACTCTCTCCACCCCCCACCGTTGCCTCCCGTCTCTGTCTCTCGTTGCGCGTGTCCGCCAAACCGTGCCTCTCTTCGCTGAGTGCTTCTAACCCAACGTCGCCTCGAGCTGCAACCTGCGCTACTTGCCCGCCTGTGTCTCGAGCCCGCCTCTCTGTCTTGCAGCAGGGTTGATATTACGTACTGCAGACGCCGTGGGGTGCAACGATGGGACGGGCAAAAGCAAGCAGGTCTTTTGACATTGACCCGTGCCGGTTCACTGCTCTGCTACTCTGTACCTTGTTCTGGCTTGTGAGTGCCTTGGTACCTACCTTAAGCCCCGAGGACGATGTGGGGCTTTCCACGACTTGACCTGGCTTCCCTTTTGCCTCAGAACCTCGGATAGAGACTCTATATCGCGGTACACAGATAACCGCAGGAAACCCGCCCGCCCCTCCCCGTACCGCCGCTACTCACCGCTACTTGCATACTTTTGTCCCAGAGTCCCACATGACATGTCATCCAATGCCCCGATGAGACAGGTTCATGCATGGAGGTCAGATGCAAGACGATGCCATCACGACTCGGGAGGGGGAGCGAAAAACTCAAAAACCCTCTAAAGGCGACGAGGGGGTTGCTCTCGATCCTCCTCGCCTCCCATCAGCTGCTCAAAGATCCGGTCGGTGAGGGATTATTCGCAAGTCTTGGAAGTCCCGGAGCCGCTCTTCACGAACTCAAATCCCCATTTACCCCGGATTGCTCGAGCCTCATGCTCACATGCTATGCTGCCCATCGTAGTTGCTCGGTCTGGTGCCGTAGCATAGCTGCGTCTCCCCTTAGTTGAGGCTGTCTACGGATAGGCAAATGTCGCAATCAAATCTCATGACCCCCCAGATCGTCAAAGACCATTTCCCCTTTCCACCAAGAGCCGGGCTCCCGTTGCACAGACTTGGCCGTCTCCTCGCTTCGGTGCCCTTTCTAAAACCGCCGTTTCCTTAGACCTCGCCCTCGCTGCCTTACGGCCTTTGGAGTAGCTGGTTGGGAGTGGCGTGGTAGCGCGAGGCTTGTTTTGATTTTGGTCCTGCGGCGGGAACCAGCTTGTCCCATGCAACATCCCCCATGCGGCTCACCCAGCAAAGTCGACACCTCGTCGCGCACGAAACGAAACGGGACCCTCCCTCTACTACTTTGCCTAATCTGACCTTACCGTACGTTACGTTACCAAGCTAAACTCGCACCGATCCGAACCCAACCAACCTCCGGTCCGTCGATTTTACTTCGATACAAGTCCGTTGCGCAAATAAAACAAAGTGAAGAAGGAAAAGAAGAAAAAAATCGAAAGAAAGGCAGAGGGGCACGGCCCCACCACCACCACCACGACATATCAAAAAATCGTTACGGCACGGGCGCCGCCCATTCCACGTCATCGGCGGCCTGCCTCGTCAACCAAACCATCTCAAGATTCCCAGCGCCGTCCAGAGCGCTTCGCATCCCGTCCAGAGCGCATAGGCAAGGCCCACGCGGCGGTACCATGACCCCCGCCGGCCTAGCCCGTCCCGACCAGCCCGCCATCGCCGCCCTGGTCCCTGTCCTCCAGATCCTCGACAGCTTCAACCACCGTAACAAGAACCAGCACCGCGTCGCCCGCTGGTGGGCCCGGTTCGACGTCCTGCGCCGCTCCGCCAGACGTCTCCACGACGCCCTCGAGGCCCGCGCCCGTCACCGCCACGCCCAGAGCTTCAAGGCGCCCTCGAAGAAGTCGGCCGGCAGGCCCAGCCCCGGCACCGGCACCAGCAACGGGGACCGTCGGGGCAATGCGTTAGACGAGGATGTCACTGCGAGGGTGCGGCTACTGCTCGACACAACCATCCCGTCGTCGTTCTTGTGAGTCGTCACGCCAGGCCCTCGGAGACCCGGGATGTGCTTCTGCTCCGTTGTTCGTGGACTAACACATAGATCAGAGCCTTCAGTCAGTTGGCAGCAGACGGCCAACATGCTGCCCTAGGCCTGGTCTTGCTGGGCGTCTTGGCCCGTATAAACTCGGCCATTGCGCCCCTGGCCCCCCGGCAGCCCGAGAGAGGTGATGAGACGCCCATGGCCAACCCGCCAGCGAGCCATGATGCGGTCGTAGCCAATGAAGGCCAGGCGAATCCAGAGCCAATGGGCCTCGGCGTGGCCGTTTCTCGAGACCAGATGAAGTTGGCCGCTAAACCCCTAGCGCGTCATCCAACAAAAGACGACGAAGCTGTCGCGCCCGTTGCAAGCAAAAAGAAGCGCAGGCTAGCGGATGCCCCCACCACTGAGCCTGAACCCAGCAAGCCGGCCAAGGAGAGAAAGTCGGAGAAGAAGCCCGGCAAGAAAAAGTCCAAAAAGGGCGACGAGTTTTCGGATTTGTTCAGTTCGCTCATGTAGAAATACCCATGTACATAGTCCCACACGATTTGTGTAAAGCTTCAAATTTTTCATTAGCGACGGCTATTTGCTACGAGATTCCGACATGTCCCTGCCCGTGCGCCCCCTACCGTCCTGTCCGTCTCTTCGACCGAGAGTGTCCCAAGACGTAGACAGGGACAACAAATTTCACCATGAACCCCCCAGTAACAGAGCACCCTTTACTCAACACTGCTATTTGGTATACACATCTGCCGCTCACGAAACCCACCAAGAGCTGAATTGGGCTTCCTACTGGACACTCCGGTAGGACCAGATGCGTGCCCGCATGTCACCAGAGCCGGTGGCGAAGTAGCCTCCCGTCGGGCTGGGCGCGACGGAGATGACACTGTTCTTGTGTCCTTGAAGCATCAACTGCGTGGCGCCGGTGCGAGGATCCCAGAATTGTACACCACGGTCCTTGGAACCGGACATGACCCAAGCAGCGTCGGGGGTCAGAGCGACGGAGAGAACGAAGTCCTATACTTGTCAGCATACCCATGCGGTGGCCCTTTGTTCCGGAGAATAACTCACTCTGTGTCCCTCAAAGGTCTTGACGCAACGTCCGCCCTTGGGGCCGGGGTTGGGCAGGCCGCGAGGAGTGCTCAGCTCCCACATCTTGATGGTCTTGTCCAGAGAGCCACTGACCAGATCTCTGCCGTTGGGAGAGAAGGCAACACTGTAGACACTGTCCTTGTGGCCATCGGGGCCCTCGAGTCGCTCCAGGAGGTATCCCTGGTGGATATCCCAAACACGGACGCTCTTGTCAAGCGAACCGGCCGCCACATACTTTGTGTCGGGGGAGATGGCAACAGTCGTGACACCGTCCTCGATGGTCAAAGTAAGGGTGTTGGTGCCCTGCTCGATATCCCAGAGACGGACGGTCCTGTCTCCACTTCCGGATGCGATCGTGCGACCGTCGCGGGCGAAGTCGAGCGAGTAGATATCTTGCTCGTGGCCGGAGAAGGTGTTGCGAATCTGCCGAGACTGGATATCCCAGACCTGAAAAGTGGGTTAGCATGGTCTACCCGGACGTCTATCGACGCTTCACTTACTCTGATCAACTTGTCCTCAGCACCAGTGGCAAGGTACTTGCCATCGGGACTGAAGCAGACGCTGCGTATGTAAAGATCGCCGGTAATGTCGACAGTGTCATCTTGGAGGACGCACAGCTTCTCGCCGGACTGAACATCGTAGATCTGCGCGGATCGGTTACATCCGGTGGCCACGTACTTGCCATCGTGGCTGAAGCGCACGCAGCAGACAACGCTTTCGTGTGCAAGAGTATGGACCAGGTCGACGTCAAGCATCCGTGGAACATGCTGGTTAAAGATGACGAACCAGTCGTGACCCGATTTCTTGGAATGAGGAGGCAGGCGATCAGGGTCAAGATCGCCAAGGGCGTTTCCCACAGGGGGCGCATGGGGGCCGCCCATCCGCGCGTGGTCAGGAGTCGGGTGGCTGACTTGAGGCGATTGCGTGGCGCCGGGGAACGGGATCGGGGTGTTGATCTGGGGAGTGGCCGGACCAACAGCCGCGGGGGGGCGTCCAATTCCACGTCTGCCAGGGCCGGGCGAAGCGGTCGTCTGAGGAGGTTGAGAGTTAAGGCCGTTAGAGACGGGACCGCCGGGACCCTGAGGGTATTGCTGGAAAGGCTGCTGCGACTGAGGGGGCGGCGGCGGCGGGCCAGGGAGACCCGGAGGGCCCTGTGCCATCTGATGCTGCGGGCCCATCTGCTGGTCCTGAGGCGGAGGAGGGGGGGGAGGAGGGGCCAGCTGAGCCTGGCCACCACCGGTCATGATGCCGTTGAAGAGACCAGTGCCGGGAGTGATGGAGGGGGGCTGTTGCGACGGGCCAGCGTGAGGAGGGGGGCCGCCGATGCTGGGAGGCGCATTTCCGCGTGCTCCCTCAAGCTGGCGACGGAGCATAGCAATCTCTTCCTCGTACCTGTTTGAAGCTTGCTGTTAGCATTTCCAAAGCTTGGCGGGATTCGAGACTGCATCGGAAGGCGTACTTTTGCTTCAGGTTCATCTGCGCCTGTTCCATCGCGTAAACTTTTTCTCTAACGAGCTGCATCTCCTGGACCTGGGCCTGGACTAAAGAGGCTGTTAGCGAGCGTGACGACATGAACCAGGCGCGATCGTCTTACTCTGATGTTCGTAGCCCTCGGTCTGGCGCAGCTGCGTGTCGAACTCGGTTCTGATCTGGTCGAGGAGCTCATTGAGCCTGGCCGAGTTGTTGGGGGGCACCGCGCCCATGGCGCGATGCGGATACATGGACATGGTTGTAGTTGCAGTTGCAGTTGGCAACGTTCAGTGCTAAAGATACGCGAATGGCCGGGGGGTAGGTGGAGGAGGTCGATAAAGATAAATCGCCAAGTATAGTGGAAGATGGCGAAGGATGACCGGTTGTCCGGGCGTCAACAATGAACACGATGCGTCGGGTTCGGTGTTGTGTTGTGGTGGTCGTGGCTCGGAAAATTTGGCCGTCGCCGCAATGGGGGACCCCCTTCAATCGGCGGGTGCAGAACGACAAGGCGCGGTTTGCCTTGGCTAAGGTCCGCTGCGGGTTTTGTGTGTCGACAGCGGCAGAGCCGTCCAGGCAGGGAGATACAGGTGGGTGCGCGATATCGATGTTGTCGCAGGCGGGAAAAGATGATGAGATGGAAACAGTTTGGGAATCGATTGATGATGACGAAGATGGTGATGTGTTGTGAAAGAGAGAGTGTGTGTGTGTGCGCGCGCGCGTGTCGAGGTTGTCACGGCGGAGATGGGGAAAAAGAGAGGAAGGGGAAGAAAAGTTCGGGTTAGGCAAGGAGAGGAAGGAGAGAAAGGACCCGGCTTGAAGAGGCTGGCGAGTGGAACGAGAGGAGACTGGTGCAAGGTGCAAGGTGCACAGGCGAAAAAAAGCAGAGCGAGAGAGAGAGACGGATGGGAGCCGCCTGGGGATGTGATCCAAAAGCGGGTCCCGCCAGAGAGAGAGAGAGGTGAACTGCTCTGTGCCGCCGCCGCCCCCCCTGGAACCAGGCGCACGCCAAGCTTGACAAGTAGCTGGCCTAGCGAGGATACATCTGGCTGCGCGAAAAGGTACGTGATCATCGAGGCACCCAGCCAAAGGTCTGGAACTGGAGGCGCGGGTGGCAGCCATGTAGTCGCCAAGTATCGGCCAGGAGGCCGCTACGCACCTGAAAGTAAGGTCTGTGCGCGCCGTCCTTTGGGGGTGAGCTGGCTCGAAATATGGGTCCTTCCATGTGGCGCTTGCTTGAAGTGTTCCTTCCAGCGGGTGTGGGTAGTTTCAATCTGCCCGGGCTTGGGTTGGGTGCGTGGGTCCCCAGGCGGCGGCGACTGAATCGGTTTAACAGGGCAGGGGTGCTCTAGTGCCAACGCTAGCCTTCGGAGCGGGGGTGTGGTGCTAGAGTGGGGTGCAGCCCGTACCTTGAGTCTACTGGGCACTGCGCAAGGTACAGTACCTCAGAAAACCTTCATGTCCAGCCTCTGTTTTGGCTGCCATGTATCCATCAAAATGAGTTGGTTACCTAGTCGTCTTGCCGTCACCTTGTGGCCATCCACCAACAATGATAACAACAACATGCTACGCCTGGCCGCGACATGGCACTCTGCTCGGCATATGTTTCGGCCTCGTGGCCATCTACCCAACCCCGGGTCTACGCCGCGACCTGAGCGTCATGAGCCGGGTAGTCAGTCACCTGCACAGTCAGTTGCGCAACTTAACGCCGGCCAGATCTCAGATCCCATATAGGACGAGTGAGGTTATAGCACCACTAACGAGGCCAGCTAGCGGTGCCAGTCCCCCTCCAGGTATCAAACATCTGGAGTTGGGAATGCAAGGTTTAAGACCTGCTGGCTTACGATGGCTGACAGGGCGCGTTCCTCCGAAGCCATGTCTCTGTCTCCCTTTCCGCATCACCCAAAAATTTCAGAAACATCGCGTTGCAGGTTCGTCATTGGAGAAGTCTTGCAACAATGGCATCGAGAAGCGACTCATTACCTCCGCAAGACATGAATTGATCTTGCCATGCCCTGTATAAACACACTCGACAAAAGGAGATGAAGCCTTCCAAGTACCGCTGGCGGAGCCCTGTGTCGGCGTCACGGCCCCCAAATCCTCGGACCGTGTGTAGGAAGCGTACTGCGTAGTTGCGCACGTACGCCGCCGAGGACGGACGTCACGACCCTGGTGGGAACAGTACATCACGTTATTACTTAATACAGCCGGGATGGCGGTGGACAGCAAGCTGCAAGGTGCTCACACGAGGGTGAGATTGATGAATGCGGGAGCAGAGGGGCAGTGTTGGGGAAGGGGCCGTCTGCACGTGGGCGAGAGCAGTAGCATTGTCAACATCGTTACATAAACCAGCACCAGCATCAGCATCAGCTCCGTGTGACGGCTAGGGCATGATGATATGGGATGGTCTCTAGATCTCACGGGCAGATAGGGCAGGGCACAGCAACGTTGGGCATTGCGGAAAAGGCAGATTGGAGAAAGCATCGCGAGATGCAGCGGTGCAGCCCGGAAAAAAAAAAGCAAAGGTCGCACACGCGGGTTGTGTATGTGAGAGCGTGTGGGTAAGATGCAGCAGAGGAGACGAGGGCGTGGGTCGTTGGTGCGGACGGAGAATGTTCCACTGGAAGAAGAAGAAGTGATAGTAAAAGTCGCGGCGGATTATTACCTAGCTAGCCTTTGAGGCGGCTGCCGCTGCCGATGATGAACGAGGGCTTGTTGTTTAAGCGAAGGGGTGTGTGGGCAAGCGTGTACACTAGGAGGAGGGGACGGTTGAAGGACGGAGAAGGGGGGCTTCATTCGGAGTAAGGGGTCAAGGTTCAGGGTCAGAGGGGTGCGCTTGGTGTGGTGCCTGTGAGCGAGAGGGTTGTGTCTGTTGTGGATCGTCTGGTCTGGTCATGGGTATCCGCCGAGCAAAAGATGGAAACGAGAGAGGGTTTGACGACGTCTGAGGGTCGGAAGAACCTCCTGCGTCCACCTTGTTAGCGCATGCGTGTATTTATTGCCGAAGGCTTTGTTAGTGCGGCAGCGGCAGCGGTAACGATACGGAGGTAAGACGTCGGTGAGCCAGGGTGAGAGGCCCGACACTACACCGCGAGCAGTCGACTCAAGACACTCTTTTCCCAGTCAAGTGGCCGTTGTTATCCCGTACATGCCATCAAAGAGCTGAGGGTATATACGGATACAACTTCTGACCGTTCCTTCAGAAAGACGACGCACTACCACGACCACCAGCTGGCAATAAGGTTGGAAAGACGGCCAAACGCGTTGCGTTCTTCGGCCGTCCGTCCACTACTATGTATAGGGTACGTATCATCCGTCATGGGTCAAGGTCAAGGTCAAGGCCCGTGTGCAACGAGCAATGGTCAAGGCGGCCGTCCCATCCCCCGCTTCGGGCATGGAAGCTGTCGAAATGTTCCATGCCCGTTTTTCGTTACCAAGAACATTACGGTACAAAGATAAATCAAGTAAACTCACCAATACATTCCCGAGCCGTGCCCCGGCAACTCCCTCTTGGGGCTCAGCAGCGGCAGCGTTCACAGTACCACATCACCACCGCCAAACAATAGTGTACAGGAAATGGGAGTCCCGTAGTCGCATGCATGCACCATGCAATGTCATGTAGTGGCTACGGGAACGCCAAACAGACCGGGAATACAACGCACACACGCACACAAACAACTCGGCTGACAAGGAGCAGGGAGCAGGCAACGGGTACTGTTACGCTCGCTACCTTGCGTGGAATACTAACGCTGCGCTCGCTGCTACCTCACCACCCATGCCATCCGTCTCTTGATGATGGTTGCTTTTTTTTTTTCCCTTTTCCACCTCCTCGACTCCTTTTTCTGTTTTCCGCTGCCTGCTCCAGATTGACGCACAGCCCGCCCTTCCGGCATTGATAGGACCAGAAACGAGCGGCGTGCAACCCTCCATCTTGAATCCGCGCGCGAGCCGTCAATTATCATATTATGCCACGCGCCATCCACCGTCGACACAGGATGCCGATACCCACTGCAGCATCCCACGATACGACAAGCCCCAGCTGGCAATAACCAGATTGATGCATCTTGATTCGCGGAGGTCGGTATTCAGATGCCAAAGAGGTTGATGATTCGCCGCAAGCCATGGCACACTGACGAGTCATCACGGTTTGTGCCGAATCAAATGCAACTCATCAGGCCCGACCGTCGCATCGTTGCAAACCCAGTTGCATTGTTCCAATTTGGCATTTCGCACAACAATAGTCTATCCCCAAATGCACCAGGGCATGTCTAACAACTACCTCTTATGCTCGTAACATCCGTCCCAGGCGCCATTGCTTTGTCTCAGTGGGCTGGGACGAAAGACAGGTGGGCAGGTGCAGCGCGTGCGCGTGCGCGTTTGGCGATGGGTGCGGTACATACTTGGCCACACCCATCAAGTCACGACAGGCCAGGGAACAATAAGGCGCATATTCGGGTGCGTTAGCGTTGGAATTGCGAGATGGGTTAGGTGACTTGACGTCGGGGGTTTCCGGCTGAGGTAAGCCACCTTGGTGAAGATGGGGGTGAGGTAAGGTGTGAACAGGCTGGGGTTGAAGTGGTGTGAGGCCTGACTAAGGAACTCCAGAGCCCATCTCGTGCCTGGCTTGTGGGCAGTCGCCGGTCAAACACCGGCTCGAGTACGGCCTATCTGATTCATCAAGGTTCGAAGCTGAAAGGGGCCGTCATCCGTTTATCTGTTCTCGCCAATGCCCGCCTATTTTGCGGTCTTCGAAAGGCCATTACCTTACAGCGGCACCAACAGCGGCCCCAAATGCGGCGTAGCTGGCAGGCACTCACCCCACGGTCTGGTTCATGAGATGGAGACTCGGATCGTTGGAAGCATCGCAACCTCTTTGAACCTGGCCAAGTCGCTCAGAGGTACGCGTCTCAGAGCATTAGCAAACTTCGTCCGAGAATATGGTTCTTCACGACCACATCAGCCGCTAAGCCTTGAAGTCCTGGCGGACCAACTTGGGGGTCGCCCTCCATCCCTCCCTTGGATGACCCGCAAGATGTGCAACAATTGTGAGGGAGGGCCCCGGATCATTCTTCGAGTCAGTGGCCCACCACTGGCAAACACTCGTTTCAACCGCCGTTGGGGACGTTCTATGCGCTGCGAGCCAGCCTTCTTTTCTCAACAAGGGTGTCTAGATCGACGTTCTAGGTAAGGGTGACCATGGAAAGGGCTGCTAAACGTCTTTGAGATGCCGCCAACCGATGTCAAGAGCCTGATGTAGCTCCGTGCAGTTGGGTTGGTACCTATCTAGCTCATCTCCCCTCATCTATCCAATCCAAAATCCGATTGCACCAAATCCCGAGGGATGCGGCAACTACCACCCGACAAAGCACATCGTCATCTAGCAACATGTGTCTTCGTACGTTAATCGTACCTGGATTCGACTGTGCCTCGCCGCGGTCAGGAATGTCGGCTCAAACCAGTCTAGCTTGTCTCTACGGGTGGATCTGGGACGATTCGGAAGACCCTGCGGCCGAAGCTGCATAATCACCCCAGAGAGAGACACTTGGACCCCGAATCACCGGCAGCGGGCGTTGTGGAAAACAAAACAAAAATTGGAAAAATAAGAATTAAAACACTCGAAGCGCACGAGGGATGAGATGCCAAAGACAACCGCCACCACCAAAGTTGGGATTCTCCTGCAACCATCTGACAGCAGCATTGGCCTGGTCTGCCTGTTGCACTGGTTGGCCGCCGTTCCATGTGAAACGCGCAGATCGCTTGCCAGAGAGATGGCACTAATCAGATCTTGGGCAAAGTACACCCATATCAGACCACCAACAGGATGACTTCCAGGTCTTGGTGCTCGACTTGCACTGAACCCGAATACGAGTAGGCTGCGTCTGATTTGCCAATGGACCGTACCAGTGGGCTCCCTGGCTGTCCACCCAATACCAACATCGGAAAAGGGACGACCGGGCCTGGGAAGCTCATCCTGCTGGATCATGCGATTCCCCAAGTAATGAACATCCCACTGGGATATTAACGTCGGACGACTCCCCAAAGACAAGATGGGCTTGCTCACACCGACTCCGCTACGTGTTGCTGTTGTCTGCCGAAAACCTGGACGGACCAGATTGAATAAAAAGATGCCCTACTCCCAGCTTTGGACGGGCTGTACTGTTTGACCTTGTCCGGCCTTGATTTACAGTAACCCTCTACGACTGCCTTTCGCATCGTGCACTCAATCTCTATCTCAGCTGTCCGCCAAAGCTTCAGATCGGCTGCGTGCCAGTATCAAGGTCCCCTGGCAAAGAGTCTCGGCAACTCGACAGCACACCTCGAGCTCCTCCTCAGCTTCGCGAGCTGCGCAGACTGATCGCGGCATCGGCATTGGGTCTTTGGCCTATTGTCATTGTCGTTGCTTCTCCCGTCTCGCAAACCTCGGACAAGCCTAAATTCCCGCGGTCCGTTGCAATCAGACAGCAACGCCCTTGTCCTCTGTATCTTGTAGCTTGCAGGAGAGCTCGCAACACGAACCAAACGCCGATCACATCCCGGTTGTTTGCCCACTTGCTGATGTGAACAGCCCACCTTGTTTCGTAACGCCGAATTCTTTGTAAACGTTCGATGAGATCAGGCATTCCCGAGCTACTCCAGCTGCGATCCTCTGCGACTCAAAAGACAGCTTCACGCCGCTGCCTTCCAACCACTACCACCCGCCCTTCTCTTTCTTTCTGTTGCTTTCCCGCTCTCTCCGCCGTCACCTTGGCACACCATTCCTTGAAGCCCGGGTTTCTCTTTGGTCCAAATCATCATGGACGTCGTTCTCGAGGTCGTCGACACCTTCGTCGGCGACAAGCTCTACGCTGCTCTCTTGCCCGCGCACGCCGCTCCGTACGACTTCCCCCACCATCCCTCTGCCAACGCCACGGCGCAACCGCTCTCGACATGGCAGTACAAGCCTCGACGCACATGCTCTACCTCGAGCCCTCCGAAGCGGCATACTTGAGCGCCTGGCCGAGAGACAACATCTTTCGCCAGTTCACTTCCCTTTTTCTCATCACCTGGTATGTCTTGTGCGGCGGATCCACGCGGGGTGCCGTCTCGCTCCGTCCAGCCGGCCGGCCGGCCAGTCACTAACACAACGACGCCCAGGATCTTTGGACTTCTCAACTACTTCATCTTCGCGACTCTCTCTTACAAATTTATCTTTGACAAGAAGACCTTTGACCACCCCAAGTTCCTCAAGAACCAGATCCGCCTCGAGATGAAGCAGGCCAACAAGGCCATGCCCGTCATGGCCGTCTGCACCGCCCTCACCTTCGTCGCCGAGGTCCGCGGCTTCTGCAGGCTCTACGACGCCACCGAGGACGGCCCAGGCCGCTGGTACGACTGGGCGCAGTTCCCGCTCTTCATCCTCTTCACCGACCTGTGCATCTACTGGATTCACCGCTGGCTGCACCTCCCGCTCGTCTACAAGCACCTCCACAAGCCGCATCACAAATGGATCATGCCTTCGCCGTACGCCAGCCACGCCTTCCACCCGCTCGACGGCTTCGCCCAGTCCGTCCCCTACCACGTCTACCCCATGCTGTTCCCCCTGAACAAGCTGGCCTACGTGGCCCTGTTCATCTTTATCAACTTCTGGACCATCCTCATCCACGACGGTGAGTACATCACCGACAACCCCGTCATCAACGGCTCCGCGTGCCACACGGCCCACCACCTGTACTTCAAGTAAGCCCTAAAGCCCCCCTCCTCTCTCCGACGAGCTGGCGGGACAGCGTGCTAACGGTACATTGCGCAGCTACAACTACGGCCAGTTCACGACGCTCTGGGACCGTCTCGGGGGCAGCTACCGCAAGCCCGACCTCGCCTGGTTCAACAAGAAGACCAAGATGTCTCGGGAGACGTGGGAGTCCAACATGAGGGAGATGGAGGACATTCAGAAGGAAGTCGAGGGCGACGACGACCGCCAGTACGTCACCGCCGAGGCCAAAAAGAGGAACTGAGGGCGGCAGGTCGTCCGAGCGACCCCGTGGCCCGCCGGTTCACTGTGCGCCGGCACCCTGTCGTTCCGGGGTGCCACTACTTACCTTTTCTAATGCCTGGGTATTGCCAGAACCTTTCATTGTACATATAAAACCGACGCATGTTGATGCTGTAAAAAACAAGGGAGGTCGGGGATGACCGAAATGACTGGGAATGAGGCGATTTTGACGCATCGTCTCAGCGGACGAGGCTCGACTTTGATAGCTAGTAGCGTATCCGGCCTTCACCAGGAAGAGCTCGCGATGCGGAATCAAACTTGATGTGGACTGCGACGGGCCGAGCTTCTAGTGACAGCATCGCTCAGGCTTGGCATCGTGGTAGTCGGAACGCAGGTAATTTACCGAGGGCCTCCCTTGGCGACACAACGGCAAAGGGTCTGGAATGGGAACGAAACTGAGTGTAGTATTGAAATCTCGAACCGCACGCGCTCTACGTGAAGGGGCAACACCTCGAAAGGGCGCCGTGGGTGATGTAAAGCATCCCACTCCATCTCTTCAAACCTTCATCCAAGCAGAACCCAAAGACATACGGAAAGCAACGCTAGAACGCCCGATTTCTCCAAGAACCCGCGGGATATCAGCGTGATGACAAAGTAGGAAAAGTAGTCGGTGTCGGTTTCGACATGGAAGAGTTTGGTGGCTACCGGCTGGGTTGGTGCAGCCGGCGAAAAATCTTGCGTGTCGTGGTATAATTCGGCGTGGTATTTCCCGCCATGGGGGTTCCCTCCCCCCTCAACTATCTCCTGTCCCTCTCCCTCCTGCGCTTTGGGGTAGGCGCACCGATGCGGTCATCGAGCGCGGTTCGCGATGGTCTCTTCCGACCCATCCGAGCAGTCCCCCTTCGCAACGCCTCCCAGCGGCGCTTAGCTGAACGTCACGGCCTTGGGATCCAGCGGCCGCCCGTCGGGGCCGATGCCGTTGGCCTTGAAGCGCTGCTGCATGTAGTACCTGCGAGCGTCGTCGAACTTCATGCGGCGCTTCTTCATGATCTTGAGGATCTCGGCCTTGGAATGGTCGTCGAGGCCGGCGCGGGCGTCGCCCGACTCGACGTTGGCGGCTAGGTCAAATGTGGAACTCGAGAGGCCGGCGTCCATGTCGCCGACAAAGCTCGAGGGGAGGCGCGAGTAGATGTAGTCGCGGCCGGGGAAGGGGAGGTCGGGAAGGTGGGGGAGCCAGTGGGCGCGGGTGAAGTAAAGGGCCGTGGCGGTGACGAGGAGGAGGAAGGAAACGGAATACAAAAGGTAGGACATCTTGGCGGTCGGGTTTCCGTCAAAGCCGGTCGGTCGCTGGGAGATTTTGAAGGGTTGAGGTTGCGATTGTGGCCCGACGTGGTTTGATGCGCTGGTCGGGTTGGTATTGGGTGACGCTCAGCTGTGCGTAGCTGGGCTCCCTCCCGGTCTGCTAAGAATGCGATTGTGGTCGCAGTGTAAGGCGAATGGAACAAAATAGGGACAAGACAAGGAAAGAGATGAAAAAGAAGGAAAAGTCGGCAAAGAAGACGAAACGGTCAGAGACTGCCGTTCGGTAGGTTCAAGCAATCATGTCGAGACTGCAGGTGGTCGGGCGTCGGTCGTGTTTGACTATTTGCAGGAAGGGAAAGAGTTGTAGAGAGGGAAACAAAATGACGAACATTGGCCCGTTATGTGATATGGATGCGGAAAAGAGCCACTGTGGTTGCGTAAGTGCGCATTGCTCTCGGGCCCGTTTGGGAGTGCTTGGCCTTCTTGGGGTCCTTGCCTGGGCACGCTGCGTAGTGGTAATCAGGCGCAGGCCTCTCGGGGCTGTCAGCGGTCCCGTACTTCCGTTTGGCCCTGCAGGTGCACCTGAGCTTGGGAAAGTTCCACTTACTAATGCCTTGGAGCATTGTTCCTTTTGAGAAAGCGTACGTAAGGCGGCGGGCGCAGGGTCATTCACGGCACCGGGGGCCGCAAGGGAGGCCGCTGACACAAAGCCTGCCCGCTGCCGACTTGGGTGCAAGAAAGGGATTCCCTTGCATCACGTAAGCTGCCCAGTTCGGCGGCAATCCCCTGGGCATGGGCCACGGAGTTTTATGGTGTTTGCCGACTGGAAGCCGCAGCAAGACATAAAATTCCCCCACCGTCCGGGGCCCCAGATGCATAAGGAGGGTTCAATGTCCGGGATGGCGTCGGCACTTTCAATGCCGCTTGGGTCGATCGGTTTAGGCGGTCGAATTGTCGCTAAGGTCCGTAGACTATGCCGAACACTCACACACAGTCCTGCCGTGATGGCCGATGCGCCAGCAACCCAAAAGTCAATTTGGATGAGAACCCCCCCCGACTGTCGATTCCGCATAATGGTGGGTTACGATGATCACGGAGCTAGTCCCCCGGTGATCTGGAAGACCTTGCAGCTGGGGTGGGGGCGCCGCCCGCAGTTGGGAAACCTTTGTCGAGCCCGACAAAGGTGGGCTGCCCTCCGACAACCTCTTGCCGTCGCGGCTGACACTCCCAGGCTGGACTCTGGTTTGCTTTGGGATATGGACCTGCATATAGTTCCATGTCGTAGCATTGGTCATGGCCTCTTTGAAGACTCCTCTTCTACGAGGGCTTTATTGGCGACACTGTCGGTAGGAGCCTAAAAGGCCGACATCTCCTGACGCAGGCGTTGGGAAAATGGGTCATGCTTGGTTTTCCGAAGCCTTGCTTGGAAGTAGCAGGGTTCTAAGCAGCATATGTGCCTGAAGTGGCATCTGTCTGCCCAGTCTACTGACCGTGAACATTTCTTATAGAGTGACGTTTTTGCACCAAGATGAGGAACGTTCAACCAGAAATATCGAAGACGTGACATTTCTCATGTGTGAATGGATGTGGTATGCACGCAGTGCAGTTTGAGGATAATAGAAAACAGTTGCTCTAGAGAAGGCTTGAGCAGAACCTACGTGTAGTCACGGTCAAGAGATGAATTAGCAGCCTGGGCCTGACAGGAGAGAAGACTGCTAGCTCTACATAAGTCCTGAGGGCAACTCATCCTTATTGGTATTGTTACCGTCTCCCAGCCGATTTGAAGCCATGTTCCTGCAGACTGGTAAGCTGTGTCCACAAAATGGCAACTCGAGGCTAGACAGCAATTCCAATCTGGGAGGCCGTGGGCTCGTGTTTGATGTACAGACTGCTCTTTCTCTATACTCTCTCTAGCTGCTGGGTTGTTTAGTAACTATGTTCTAAGAGTCATAGGTTGCAAATCTGTGACTCTAACTTCTCTATGACTTGCGGCAAAGGACTACTTACTTCTGTAGACGACTTGTCTATCGTTTCCCATGGTTATACTTTCTCGATAGCGTTGTTGTTACTGGGGAAGCTACGTGGTAACTGAGCTCACGAAAAGCCGATCTCACTTACTTTCCGGCTCTCATCGATGCGTTGAAGGAGTTTTGCTGCTGAATTACTGGATCATACATTCTTCCTCGGGACCGCGCTTTTGACCATATTAACATTTCATGCGTTAAGAGGGTGAGTGAAATTGATATGGTGTCTAAGTGTCCTTCCGTCGCAAATAGCAACAACCGTATAGATGGTCGTCCGTGCAGAGGTTTTCGTTCACGTGAAGCATGTAGTGGCTGTCGTATTGTATGCGCGTTGGCCCGTTCCTGAATTTCGCGAAACCCAACTCTGTTACTGCTTTGCAGTTGGAGCGGTTCTACATTGTGTTTGCTGAGCTAGGACGATTTGTACCACGTGGTTGAGATTCGGGCCTTTATTGACATAAAAAGGTAGCCCTGATAAAAGGACACTGTGACTATGGGGCATACTCACTACTCACTGTGAATATATGTTTCTGACCCATAACAGAAGGCTAATATGTAACATCTCCAACAGTCATTGATATCTGCATATCAGGCACCTGAGATGGCTCTATTGAGCAAAGCCATATATGCTTGTCTTGAAGAAGCATCTGCCTGCAAGGGACGTAGCGCACTTATTGGGGCCAAATCAGGGTCGCGAGATGCTCTGAATGTCGAAGGAACTGAAGCATCGGCATACAATCGCAAACGTATGCCCAAAATAAGTACTAGTCTCAGCTACAACTGTAACAACATACCAGGACTAAAGAAATATTGCATACCCACAATGTCTGTTCGCATTTTACCCTACTCAGAAGGATCACCTTATCTAGGATGCTCTCCGCATAGACAGAGGTGAGAGAATAGTGCTCTTCAGGGTACCCTGCGAATAGACACGTTCAGTGATTGAAAATGGGGTGTTAGCCTCATGACCGGCTCGTTATTATTTTGAATGTGTAAGGATGTCAGGACATCAACGACGTCTTTCAATAATAGGACGTGACCGTCACTGCTGATTGGTATCCCCATGTTTATCCTCGGGACTTGCTGAATGTAGACCCTAACGGCCAGCGCTCCTTAATCGACCCGGTTGTAGTACGATCCGAATAAGAGAAAGTATACAAGGATGAGTTCGAGGTTACAGCAATGAGCCACGGGAGTTGTGATCGACATCATTTTATGTCGTATGCATTGCTGGATGTCTTGAGCCATAGTGCCTGCATGCTTCAGTCCTGATGTTGCGAACCTCTATTAAAATCCACGTTGACACTGAGCTTGAACATTAACATCAAGCTGTGCAAGACCAAGATGGGTAAGCCTTCAAAAATCGGAATGCAAAATGTTTATGGTATTACGCTCTCGATCGCAAGGAGTTGCTGTCTCATTGATTACCCGATGGTAAGCGAAGAGTTTCATCTCCCCGGCACGCCACTCGCGACCGGCCTGATGATCATACTGAGAGACCGGTTATCCTGGATTCCATCAGCTACCTACTCAGGTAGAACTATGTCAAGCGGCCGATGGAAGCCCGCAGCCGCAGTTGAACTGTCATAGCCAAGGAGTGTTGATGGACGGCAATGTGCCGAGACCTTCTTCGTTAGCGCAAGCCACGTCTCAAAAATCATGAGACGCTGAAATAATCATGATCTAAGCAAGCCTTCGGGTGATGGACGTCGTCACGCCGTCAGTCCATGGTGATGTCGACCTGTAATCATCAAGGAGTCGCCCACGAGTCGTAGGATGCACCGCCACCACCAGCCACACCCGTGCCGGCCCGCCGAGGAGGGCTTTCGTGCCCCGGAGGGGTCTCGGGCGTGGCGCCGCGATAAGATGAGTGGACCGGAAATGCGCTAGTCCGCAAAGCGACAGCTAAGCGATAGCCCACACATTCAATTCCCGCCATTGAATTCTACGAACACCCAGAAGGCAGCGAACAGAGAATCGTGAAGGCATTCATCAACCATTCCGTGATCCCTCAAATCAGTCAAAATGGCCGCCACTCTGCCCAACGTTTCCTCGGACCTGATCTGGGAGGTCGTCCGTAAGTTGCACCTCGACGTCCGGCTGCGCGTGTAGCCCAGAACGCCCGCGAAAAATAAAGAAGACAGCCATGGCTTACCAGTTCTCGTTTCTCCCGACACACAGGCAGCCAGAATGCGTTCCTGGTCAACCGCAACGATGCCGGCGGTCTCCAGCTCTCCCGTGACCCCCTTAACCTGGTCAACAAGCACTCCCGCAAGGTATGTCGAAGATTCACCTGTTGGAAAACGAACGACGGAGATCATGGCGGCTTGGCTAACAATTGATGCAGTACGCTGGCTTCGTCAACGACAAGGTACATACCCTCACATACTCCACGAACCCGAGGACATATATCCACGAACGATCCGACGATCCCGAACAACAGTGACTGACAGAAGCGATAACTAGGCCATCGGCGTTGTCCCCAACGAGAAGGGTGGTGTCAAGGTGATCAGCAAGAACCAGAAGAACGGCAACAAGCCCGCCAAGAACATCACTGAGGTCACCTACGGCGGCAACAAGTCTGCGCGCAAGTGAGTTGCGACCCGTCCCGTGCCGTTCTTCGGCATGGATAAGACAGCATCGTCTGAAAGGGAGAATGGGGTATTGACGAGTGGAAAACAGGACCTACTCCGCCGTTGCCCGCCAGGCTGCCGCCAGCGGCTACCGTGCCGATCTCCGTGAGGCCGCCGTCCAGCGCGTCTCCGCTATCCGCCGCGCCCAGCGCCCCGTGAAGGCCACCCCCGAGAAGAAGCCCCGCGGCAACAAGGCCAAGAAGGCCTCCACCGAGACTGAGGCATAAACGTGTTGTCATGCTGTTTAGCGGACGGGAAAGGCTTGGTTTGGGCGTTACGTCGAGCAAATAGAATACCTTTTTGAGGGACACAGGCGGAAACAAATCAAAAGCTTGAGTCAAAAGGCCAAAAAATAATGACTGGGACTGGTTTCATTGCTCGCAAGGAGAGTCTCTTTTCTTCACTGTGAAGGTCCACGAGGCATTGTCTCACGTGTAAATGCTGCAGTGATGTTGCGCATCCACCAAAGGGAAAGTCCCGGAGCGAGAGTGGGTTGGCTGCGGTCAAAGTAGGGCGACATTAATATGCTATAGCCGGAGTGCAGCGTGTGTTGTTCGCGATGCCGTGGCGTGGCCGGCGGCCATCACCCGAAGTTGCCCGACCAGAGTAGGGAGCGATTTGCAGTTGAACCTCGGAACCACGGGCAAGCACCGGGATGTTGACGGGTCGTTCGGCTTTGACCATACTATGTCCCTGACAATGACGAAGCCCGAGCTAGCTGTTCTACGATAAGTTGCGGAAAGGTGCCATGGCATCTGGACGACGGAGCCTGATTGAGCCAGTTTAGCGGAGTAAGTCTTCGCCGACTTTGACCTGATTTTCACGCGGTTCAGGCTTTGTCAACTAGTCCCCTATTGTAACATGGCGGGGTAATTCAGCCTGCCGGGGTTGCACAATTGCCTTACTCAACGGAAAGGCAGGGTACGTGCTTTTATACCAGATAGACGATGCGCAAAATAGGTAATGATTACCTAGGTATCGGATGACAAACGGAGAAGTGTGTTTTAAAAAAAGGGAGCTGTTTACTCTTGCCAAGCATAGCAGACGCGATACGCAGCTCAAGCTGTCTCATCGTCGAGGCCGAGGACATGGTGCAAGTCACAAGTTCACTGGACAATGGGGCGCTTTGCCTTGTTATGCTAGCACCTTGGATGGAGACGTTTTGTTTCTACCGCACCCGAGTTTTGGCTATACATAGGACAGAGCTCCCCCCTGCGCTCGGGACTGAGCCGTCATAAACAGGAAGACACCGGAACGTATTGGCCAGTCCCCGGAAGTTGACGGGGACGGCATGGGTGGACGAGAATAGGCTTTTTCTCTGGCGGCTCTGCCTCCCTACCATTGCCGTGCTAGTTCTTTTTTTTTTTTTTTTTTTTTTTTTTTTTTTTGGGTGTCTGGCTTTCTCTCACATGCATCAGGTCGGAGGGAAATGGCGAAATGGATGAGGGGGGGATGGGGGATGGGGGATTGGGGATTGGGGAGGGAGGTAAATTGACTGAGGTAATCCGGCGTGTCCTTTTTCGGCATCGGTAGAGAAAGGCACCTACCTGGCTTGGAGGCAGGAAGAGCTGCTTAGGGAAAAGTCCCTCGTCTCCTTTGGCTGGGCGTGTCTCACAGGCCTTTTCTTTGTCTGGGTCTTGAATGACGACAAGGAGATATCTGCGACAGCTATTCCCTGGTGCGGCGAGGGAAAAGGTACCTCCCTCTTTGTCACATCCCGTTCTCCCTCCAAGTCTCCAACAACCGAGACAAAAACAGCACTGGGCCGGGACCAACAAGCAAGGCAAATGGAAAGTAGCAAGCAGCAGAATCTTGCTGGGTGCGGCGCATCGCAGCGCAGCGCAGCACAGCGCATGCATGCCTGCCGTAGTACAGTCGCTGTTGCTATTCTGCGCATGCACTGGCGTCGCCCCCCTGGTAGCAGCCCCCTTCCCCCCTCCAAATGTTGCCCCTCTTCTTGCCCCTCTATCCAATGACACAGCCGATCCCACGGGACGAGGGGTGAGCAAGAAGGTCCCGTCGCAATGTCCCCCCCGCGGTTGAACCTACGTCCCCGCCGACAGCCTCCGGACTAGGTATCAGCTGGCGCAGACTACTTCTACCTCGCCCTCACTCCCTCTTTCTTCCTTCTCTCTCTCGTACTAACCAACAACCTCTCGACTGATCCTGCTTTACCCATCTCATCTTGAGCATCACAGGTAAACTCCAAGTACGTGCGACGATGCCCCTTCCCTGAGCCTCAGGCAGAGAAGCTCCAAACATTGTCTAGCATCACAGGCCAGAGCTCGACTTGCTAAGCGAGCAAGCTCCCGCCGAGCTTCCTGAGAACCACCCCGCTGATCCGCGAGAACCCTTTAGGCCACCACCTCTTTTATCCGTCTTCTCCAAACCGAAATACACAAACACCTTCAAGATGGTCAAGGCCGGTATGCTCCCCTCTGTCCCGAGACCATTGCATGAAGCATCGTTCTGACTGCTCGTCCTAGTTGTCGCTGGCGCCTCTGGCGGTATTGGACAGGTACTGTGACGCCAGTCAGACCCCGCCTTGTCAGGCAAACCCAGTTCGCGTAGGCTTACCAACAGCTCTTCTTTAGCCTCTGTCCCTCCTCCTCAAGCTCTCTCCCCTCGTCGACGAGCTTGCCCTCTACGATGTTGTCAACACCCCCGGTGTTGCCACCGACCTTTCTCACATCTCATCCGTCGCGGTACGTCTCGTCGAATGTCAATTGTATTGTTCCACTCGAGTTGTTGCATGCTAAACGAAAATACCCGCAAACAGAAGACCACCGGCTACCTGCCCAAGGATGATGGCGCAAAGGCCGCCTTCAAGGATGCCGACATCATTGTCATTCCCGCCGGCATTCCCCGTAAGTTTCACCCGCTCCCTGTTGCTCGCGTCGCTTTCGTGCTGACGGAGGCCCCCTTACAGGCAAGCCCGGTATGACTCGTGATGACCTCTTCAACATCAACGCTGGTATCGTCAAGGGCCTGATCGAGGTTGCCGCCGAGGTCGCCCCCAAGGCCTTCATCCTCGTCATCTCCAACCCCGTCAACTCTACCGTCCCCATTTCCGCCGAGGTCCTCAAGGCCAAGGGTGTCTTCAACCCCCAGCGCCTCTTTGGAGTCACCACCCTCGACATTGTCAGAGCCGAGACCTTTGTTGCTGAGATCGCGGGCAAGTCCAAGCCCCATGAGCTGAACGTCCCCGTCATCGGCGGCCACTCCGGCGAGACCATCGTTCCCCTGTTCAGCCAGGTCCAGCCCTCCGTCTCTATCCCCGATGACAAGTACGACGCTCTCGTCAACCGCGTTCAGTTTGGCGGTGACGAGGTCGTCAAGGCCAAGGACGGCGCTGGTTCCGCCACCCTCTCCATGGCCTACGCCGGTTACAGGTGAGGACGAAATCAACCCAATGCAAAAAAAAACTGAGAGACTGACAGTGGTAGATTCGCCGAGAAGGTCCTCAAGGCCGTCAAGGGCGAGAAGGGTCTCGTTGAGCCTAGCTACGTCTACTTGCCTGGCGTGCCCGGTGGTAAGGAGATTGCCGAGAAGACCGGCGTCGACTTCTTCTCCGTTCCCATCGAGCTTGGTGTAAGTTGCGCAGCAAAATGCATCCCCGCCCCTCCTCCTGGCCCATACTGATGTTTTCGCAGCCCAACGGTGCCGAGAAGGCCATTGACATCCTCGGCAACATCACGGAGAAGGAGAAGAAGCTGTTGGAGGCCGCCGTTGAGGGATTGAAGGGCAACATCAAGAAGGGTGTTGACTTTGCCCACAACCCCCCTCAAAAGTGATTACCCCCTTTGTACAATTGTTTCAGTTACAGCCCCCGAACCCTCTCGAGGAAGCATCATGACAACAGCTTCCAAATGTAGCCAAACAAAAAGAATTGGCGATAGATGAAATACAACCGAGGGAGAATTCTGGCTGATCGATTTTTCTCTTCCCTAGGCTGTGAGGTGGTGTTGGTCTCGCACAGTGTGTAGCAGACGAGCGTACAACGTCAAACTGATCTCGTGATTCCGTGGTGCGTACGGGAGAGGCGTCGGTAATTTTGGGGATATGGCGATAATGGGCGGTATTACCGCCCGCTCACAAGGGAGCTTGGTTTATAAGTGGAGTTAAGACACCTTTGGAAAAACAACTCGAATTGACCGTATCTTCTGGTCGGGATTTGCGGCAGCATCCCCGTTCAACTCCGTGGTTGCCCTGCTTGTGCTTCAAGCCATAGCAACTGGAACTCAATAAAACTCGCTTTGATGGGTATTATGTACTCGACGGCAGTGTCTTGATCTGAAAGATGGCGGCCGGCAGCTCGTTCGTCTCGGCCTGGACGGTGGCGTTGATCCCTAACGCCGCCAGGGCTCCGCGCACGATTCCGCAGGGGAACCAGAGGAACTGTTGGCAAAGGCAGTCAGCGATTTGGAGTGTCGGCCGTGGTCTGGACCGAAACGTACCGGTTGTGCCCGTACAACGGCCTGTCCGCCGGTTTCTGTGCTCATTCTCGAGAACGGCTTGAACGAGTTGTCCGTCAGCACGTAGACGCCCTAGGGTAGTAGAGAGGGTCAGCACTACGTTCCCAAGCTCGGTGTCTACTGCTCGGAGGCTCCAAGGGCACCATGCCGACCTACCCTGTGATTCGTCTTGAGGTTGTCCACCTGTTTCCTAAACACCAGTGACCAGAGGTCCTTGCAGACGAACTTGATGACGTCGAGCGTGTCGTTGAACCGCGGCCGGTCTCTTGAGAATCTGTAACACCGAACACCATGTCAGTCCCTAACCTTGATGTACACACTGCTCCGTCTTGTCCCCGCTTCCAGTCGCAGAGAACTGAAGACGGAGAGACGACGAGCAAAGCCGGAAGCACACGTACCTCTCCACAAGGCCCTGCCCGACACGATACCCTAACGTCTCAAGCCGGTAGAAGACGGCATCCCGCTCCTCGTCCTCGTCCATCTTCCGCGCTGTGCCGTCCCCCGTCGCGCCCCCAGCGCTCGACGGCGCAAGGCCACCGGCACTGCCACCGGCTGCACCTCCGCCCTGGCTATGGCTCACAGACGACAACGCGTCCGCCGACGCACCACCGCCGGCACTGGAAAGCGCATCTGCGCCCGTACCGCTCGCCGCGTCGCCTGCCGGCACCGCATCGAGCTCCCTCGTCACGCGGAAGGCTAGGGGTACCAGCTCGATGAGCAGGAAGTCTAGGCAAGAGGAGTTGAGGAAGGAGGCCGACGGGTCCGTGGCGTTGTACGGCGGCATGACGCTCTCGAACGACATGGTTGCGACGTTTTCTGTTGTTCGGGGGTGGTTCTGGCTTGTGTGGTTTGGCGACAATGGTGATCTGTTCCTCGTTGGTACCTTAAGGTAAGGTAGGTAGTGTAGGTCTGGGGGACTGCTCGGTGGCCGATTGCGATGGAGCACAGGCGCGGTGGGGGTTCGCAAAGGTTATGGGCAGATCAGTGGGATTGTTGGTTTCGGAGTATCGATGGCTTGATAAGCGTTGGGTTGGTTCGCAAATATCGTAATCGCAGCTTCGTCGCGCGTCGTTTGTCGGTTGGTGGATGTATGGGTGCGAGGTAGGTAAATCTGTAGGTGAAGGACAGACGAATGGATGGAGCGAATGAATGAGGTCAGGTACGTACCTGCGTTGACCATTGAGTGGAGCTAACGTTGAGCTTCTGGGTCCACACCTCAGCTCCCGTTCCCATACTGGACTGCCTGTCAATAGGTGACGATTGGGATCAATACGAGGTAGGAGATGGCATAGAAAGACGCAAGAGAGGCTTCGCAGTAATGGTATCTGATTATCCGGATTCCTATCTGTGATGGTGACTAGTAGAGGGACCTCTACTCTCGAAGCCCAGCGATGCCTTCGCCTCCCCATCTAAACAGACTCCTGCTCTCCAGCCGACGATCGCCCTGCTTCCTTCACATGTAATACTCGGCCGTCAAGGATATTGGGATATGTTTTGCCCCTAAAACGCCTGAACAGCTATCCATCCATCCCTGCCCACGCCAAACTGGAAAAAAAGGCATACATGAGCCAAAACCCCGCCTTCATTAGGGATATATGTACGTGTTGAGGTGACTAGCCCCAGGCTCGTATCCCGTAGATGAAAACAAGGAGAATCACCAAGACCCTCCCTAGTACGGCAGACCACTGCTGTAGCCGTTGGTGTAACTGTTCACCCCCGGCTCTTGCAACTGTTGCCGCTTTGGAGGTGGGGCAGCGGGTTCGTCGTCGTCAGATAGGGTCAAGTCTATTGTCACCCTTTCCGAATGAAGTCGCTTGCCGCTCGTTGTGGCCACGCCTCGCGGCATTGTCGAGCTTTCTCGCGACATCACTGTTGTGGTAGGAGTGGCCGTGCTGGCCACCGAGCGATTGGGCGTTTCGAAGTTGCGGCTGCGGATGGGGTTGACTTCAACGATTCCCCAATCATCGTCATCATCATCATCGTCAACCAGGCCGCTCCCGCCATTGGTTGGCTTGTTCTCATCTTGCGCAGAATTCACTCGCCACTGTCCGTCAGGCTCGATCGTGACCTGATCGAGAGACTTCGACGTGTTTGCCAGGATGTCTCTGACATACCTTGAACAAAGGTTAGCTGGGAGCTTGCAACGAACTACAGATTGATCTTACTCGTCAACGGCCAGCTGCTCAAATGGTGCAGACTTGTTGCAAATAGGACAGAGCCACTGGGGGCCTTGCTCCTGCAGCTGGAGATACGATGTTGCATCAAAACATTGTATGTGTGAGCAGTTGACGGAGCGGCACGGGACATCGAGACGCATATATGAGAGAGGGCATTTGAGGGACAGGACTTGTGACGTGGTTACGATATCTGTATCCGCCGCCTTTTTGCTGACTATTGTTTCTTAGCAAAGTGGACAGACTGGGGCCTCGCTGGGCAAACTTACTCTCTTCAATAACCTTGTACTTTGGAATCTTCTTTCCCAGCTTGATCTTCTCGGCCAATTCCTGGGCCGACGTGATCTTGCAAGCGTAGAGAACGAGATAGAATTTCTGCAAACAGACAAGACATCAGAAAGGGTTGTCCGGACAGGGTGATATCCAGCAAAGCGCTATCGAGGAAACCCACCTTTTGAGTCAGCGCATAAGTGAACTCAACGAGATTCCGGTTGTCATTTTTCAGACGCAGGTAGCTCGTAATATCGACTGGTCTCGTCGAACCCGGCTTGTTCTTCAAGCCCCTGAGGTTGGCCTTGACCTCATTCCCGTTGATCTTGATTTCCGACTGGTGGGGAAAGGAAATGTCTTGGGTACCGCTATTGTCTCCAGCGCAGAACACCATAATGCGCAGTGACTTGTCCTCGAGAACTTTGCTAACTCCTGGGTTCTCGCTGACTTTAACCGGGATGGAGACCATGTTTCTGTGCTGGCTCATTGCTGGGTGCTCATCAGTTTCGGGCTTCCAACCAAAAGGACAGTAAGAGCATGACGTACCTTCGCAAGTCCGAACCTCTCCCACCCGGAACTGTATCTCGTAAAACGGACTATTCCTGAATGATGGTCCTGCGAACAATTAGACGTCTGCGGACGAATCGTAGTATGGCTAACGTACCACTCGATCCGTAGCTGGGTAGAGCGTGGCCATTCGGACCGCTGGGGCGAGCGGTGCGCGAGTTCCCCCAATATTGATCCTGTCGCACCATAGGTACGGGCGTAGTCGCTGCGGCGGGGCGACTCTGTTTATGGGAGGCGGGCGAAGAGGAAGCGCCGGTTCTTGCGGTCTCGATACTTCGTTGGATTTGCTGGAAGCGAGTCACATCGTTGTTATTGTAGGCGTCTTGAATAGCTGTAGGGCAGAAAATGTCAGCCAAGGTAGACCTCGGGATGGAAAGATACTCTAGAAATCTGCCGACGGCAGGAGCCATCAAGGCACAAGCGAGAAGGAGGAAGGAGTAGGGACAACTCACCATTCACGATGCGACTCTGCAGCGACGCCTTGACGCCACTGCTAGTGAGACCGTTCAGCTGGCAAATGCTGGAAAGCTGGCGATTAAGCAACTGGTTACTGTTTACCAGTTTGACCAGAGCGTGCAGCTCCTGCCTCGGGATGGAGGTCATGGTTCCCGGGCGAGGTGGACGAGTCGCGATGGTGCGTTCGGTGATAGCCTCATGAAGGTTTGCGTGTGCGACGTCGGATCGACTTCGGTCGTAGGGAGCGCGCAGATGTCGACGGTCGTGGGTTCTCGTGGCAGTGGTTCAAGTAGCTGCACCAGTGGCAGAGGCGGATAAGAAAACAAAGAAGGAAAGAAGACGGACGGGCTCAAATGGAAAGAAGAACCATGGGCGCGACCACACGAGGCAGGAGCGGCAAGGCTCGTGGTGCGCGCCGACAGGCAGGAGCAAAGTGCGTGGGGAAGTTGCAGTCGGTCGAGGAAAGCAAGGGCAGGGTAGCTCTGCACTGGCGCTTTTGACTGTCGTTGGTGGTGGTGGTGGCAGTCGATTGCGGCGACTTTCCCCCTCGGGGCTTTTTTCTTCTTTTTTTTCGGCGACAGGACCTGACAGAATAAACCTTGACAACGACACGGTGATGATGATACTTGACCCCCAACCTTGACTCTGTTGCTAAACCAAAGAAGCGAGACAGGACAACGGAAAGTGCAAGACAAAACGGCGATGCGAGTCGGAGCAGAATGAGGTGAGGTTAGGCCAGTGAGCGGGCTATTCTTCGGGTCGGCAAATGTTTGATGTCATTCGCGCCCGCCGCTGGCTTTTGGGGGCTCTGAAGACGAGCCAAAGTCAGTGTTGCAAGTGTACCGGTAGTCCAACGAAAGAGGGCTGGGTGTGGGACTAAATGGAAGAAGACCACAGCCAAGGACTAAACGTCCTGACTGGCTTCGCCTTTTAGCAACGTCTCAGGGCGGATGAGGGCAGTCGACGGTCCTGCAGGCTGGTGAGCATCACAGGCTACAGTGGACATGGCCACCGCTGTTTCAACATCTGCAACCCCTAAATCGGACTTGTTGTACTCTTCTGTAGGGCAGGCCACCATTCATCATCCGCCTCATCGTCTCACCCTTCGCAGGCAGAAAAACGCTTGTGTGAACTGGAAATGAGGTGAGATTGAGGGCGGCCTTTAGACGAAGTGGGGTGGCAATAGCCGGCAGGCCCCGCGACGACGACGTGGATTGGGCGGTGGCAGGCGGTGGTCTGGCCCGTGTGAGACCCTTCCAGGGATTCCTGCAGTGTCAGTGGGCGTCTGCATCGGGAGGCGGGGCGACTCGGCGACCGCTTGTGTAAAATTTCCTACGCTCACTCACTGAAGGCGAAGACTGCTCGCTCTCGCACAGTCATTTCCACTCTCTCGACGACTCGACTCTGTGCTCACAGCTTGAAGTAATTCTTGACAGATATCATTCTCCGTAACCCAGTCATTCTTTTGACATTTTCAGAGAAGCCACCCCTCGACCCTTTCCCCCCAAACATCAGTCGTCAAGACAACCTTCGCAACAATGGCCAAGAGCTCAAGATCCAGCGTCACAAAAAAGAACAACCAGAGACTCAAGGCAAATGTCTTTGGTCCCGTCGAGCAGGCGAGGGCCGAGCGTCTCTCGGCGAAGTTGCTGGAGCTATCCAGGCAGCCCAAGCCCGAGAAGGAGGCCGATGTCAACATGGATGTTGAAGAGCAAGACGATGATGGTGAGCACTGAAGGCCATATACCATGAACTAGTTTTTTGTTTTGAAGAATCAACGAGAAACTAACTAGATCACAGCACAAATCAACGGCGACGACGCCGAGAAGAAGACTGAGAAGACCGATGACAATGGTACGTCGAATCACCCTCATCGCCCTCTACACTTCACACAACTGACACTCATCACAGTAATGGACGTTGACTCGGCCAAGCCCAAGCGTCGGTCTGGCAGAATTCAGAAGCAGAGGAAGAAGACGTCCAAGGTTGTCTTCCCCAAGTACAAGGATCGCCGCGGTGGTGTCCAGAAGAAGAGGTCTTGAGCTCGTCGCCATCCGTTCATCTTGCTTCTGACTTTATGGCTCCTTCATGGTTGAAGAGCGGCTTTTCAATGATAAAGAAAAAGACGGAGGCGCCCTTATGAGAAGTCTCAATGTGAGGGGATTCATCTTGAATGTGGCCTATACCTCGGCGTTTTGTGTGGATAATCAAAGGGATTGAAATTTTCGCGGTCGTTTTGGGGGCATTTTCCCATTCTACACCCCAATGGAATTCGAGACTCAGTTAAAAGTTGGTAGACCGCATTTGCAGCAATGGGAGTAATCGTTACGACTCTGGAACGATGCGAATTCTTGAAGCGAATGCCAGCCCTCGGTCTTTTTACCTTCCTTCAACCTCAACGGTCACCTAATGTTTGGAAAGCATACATGGACTGAACCTATCGGTGGGACCTTGGCACGCCTGGAAGCGGACGATTCTTGCCCATATCGGCCGGGTCCTTTTGTGCTGCAACGGGACTTTCGGACTTCGCTTTACCGATTTCGACCAATCAGCGGGGGCAATGTCGTCCAGCTGGGCGCGTCTCATCCCTGTGCTAGAGCTGTCACAGTGTCCTTCTCAATCTAAGCTCCGAGTCCATAATTATTACATAGCTGTGAACCTCTGCTGGGCACTCGCTTTACCCATTTCGGATCCAAGCCTCCTTGACAACCTTGACGGAATAGCGCCGCTGCCTCGCGAGCGCCGCATCATTCCTCCTTCAACTCGTCGCGGCTTGCAGTGCTCACCCTTATTCATCGCAACATGACTGTATGACCCGGCGGCTGCTTCCCACTGCAATGAAACCACCCTCAAGCCGTTGAAACTCAAGGACGACTTCACACTACAGCCCACATCTAAGCTCCCCTGTCTTACGAAACAGCGCTCAACGGCCACCTTGATGGATACGCGACGAAGATGTCTTTTCGATATAGCCCGGGCTTCCTGACAATTCTTCTTACCGTTGCCAATATCCTGATTCCTCTGGCGATCGTTACCTTCGCGTCCGGCTTCTTTCCTTACAAGCCAGTTCTCCCAGGTCTGGCCCAGTATGAAACTCTAGAATATGGCCCGCCACCAGCAGCGCCTTTCGACCGTCTCATCTTTATGGTAGTCGATGCATTGCGAAGGTAAATGGCATCTATCCAAACACGCAAGCCCGAGCGATGCTGACCGTATGTATATAGCGACTTTGTGTACGTGGACGGCACAGGATTTACATATACTCAAGAGTAAGTGTCTGTGACCCCTGGCAGGCTTCGCAATATTAACCAGAGGGTAGACTTATCCGCGATGGAGCGGCCTTGCCCTTCACTGCCTATGCTCGGTCGCCGACCGTCACTATGCCGAGGATAAAAGCCATCACCACTGGCTCAATCCCTTCTTTCTTGGATGTCATTCTGAACCTCGATGAAGCCGACACGTCCTCGACTTTGGCCGCTCAGGACACTTGGCTTGCCCAGATGAAAGCTAAGCAAGCCGGAAAACTGGTCATGTATGGTGATGATACCTGGCTTAAGCTCTTTCCCGGAACCTTCGACCGCGCCGATGGCACTTCAAGCTTCTTCGTAGCAGTGGGTATTCAGTGTTGGTCCCTTGGGTTCTTCAGCTGACCCATCGTAGGACTTTACCGAGGTGGACAATAACGTCACCAGGCACATCGACACCGAACTGCAAAATGACGACTGGAGCACGCTGGTTCTGCATTACCTTGGTCTCGACCACATCGGACACAAGTCGGGACCGCGAAGGTAAGTTCATCGTTAGAGACTCTTTTCCAGATTCCTGTACTGATTTCAAAACTAGCTCGCACATGGTCCCCAAACAGCATGAAATGGATGACATCGTCAAGCGCATCTACAACGCTATGGAAACCCAAGGCCACATGTCCTCGACCTTGATGGTCCTCTGCGGAGACCACGGAATGAACGACGCCGGCAACCACGGAGCCTCATCTCCAGGGGAGACCTCCCCGGCGCTTGTCTTCATATCGCCGAAGCTAAAGGCCCTGCAACGCAACTTGTTAGCCCCTGCTGCGTTCAAAGAGGACTTTTCTTACTACACCATGGTCGAGCAGTCGGATCTAGCACCTACACTGGGCGCTCTGCTCGGTTTCCCTGTGCCGAAGAACAATCTGGGCGCATTCATTTCTGATTTCCTGCCCTTTTGGCCGAACAGTGAGTTTCCACCGCCTTGAGTCTGAGAGCGTAGTCCCTGATCTCTTGCAGAAAACGACCAGGTCCAGTTGCTCATTCGCAACGCTCGTCAGATCCTGAGTATTGTGACAGCGACCTTCGGTCCAGACATGTTCGACACCGCGACCACCTCGTCCCAGAAGGCTTGTTCGAGCCCGCAAGACGATGCCCAAGAGCTAGCTTGCGAATGGCATCGCGTCAATGACGCACTCAAAGACATGGATGGCCAGGAAGAACTAGATCCAGTGTGGCTTGAAGCCATGTCCAAGGTTTGCATTCCCTCTTATTTAATCCAAAGTGTACTCCTTACTAATGTCCCACAGTGGCTCAGCAAAGCCCAGGATCTCATGAGCAGCATGGCCAGCAACTACGACATGGGGAAGTTACATATCGGCGAAGCTGTAGCCCTCCTCGGCACCGGCTCTCTCGTCTTTGGTGTTCGGTTCAGCCTCATCCCACTGCTCGCCATAACAGTCGCGTACGGTATCATGATGTTCGCGAGCAGCTACGTCGAAGAAGAGCAGCACTTCTGGTACTGGGCCACATCCGCCTGGCTGGGCTCCCTAGCCATCAAGAACATGCAAACGTGAGCACTCCGCTTCCGACTCTACACTTTCGTCTCCCAGAACCTAACTGATTTTACAGCACTCACCCCCCTATGCGAACCCTCGCCTCGCTTCTGCTCGCATTGACAGCCACCAGACTGATCCGGGGATGGAACCAAACAGGCCAAAAGCACGCGGGCGAGCCCGATATAGTCAAGACTTTCATCGCAGCGAACCCTCCCCTCCTCTGGACTCTTGTCAGCCTAACCTACCTCTTTCTTTTCGCCCAAATCCTTAGAAAACTCCGCGGCCTGCCTCGCGCCCTCACCGTTACCACATCCGCCGCCCTTGTCCTCTCTGCCTTCGCCTTCAAGCTCGCCTTTACCAACGAAGACGCCCCGAGCTCGTCACCGGCCTTCCAGCAACTCTCAACGCCCTCACACAGGGCCTATCCCTTGTAATCCGGGCTAGGACCGTCTTTGTCGGCGTCGCCGCCACCGCCGCTTACTCAACCTATCTCGCCCTTTCCGATCCGCACGCCGAGGCGAGACACACCTCCCCCTTACTCCACCACCTCACGACCCTCCTCCTCGCAACCCAGTCCCGCGTGACAAACATCCCGCTCCTCCTTCTCTTCACCTTCCAGCTCCCCTTCCTCGCCTCCCTCGACCTCGACCTGCCCGCGCTATCCACGACCTCCCTGCTGCTGCAGTACGCCTCCTTCTTCGCCTTTGGCGGCACCAACGCAATCTCCTCCGTCGACCTCTCGAGCGCCTACAACGGCGTCGCGGGCTTCAACGTCGTCGCCGTCGGGGTCTTGACCTTTGTCAGCAACTGGGCCGGACCGATCTACTGGGCCTCCGCCACGAACCTGCTGCTGCTCCAATATCGCAGCCGTAGGGCCGGTAATGACGACGGGAAGAACGTGTTCTTGCGGCACGTCGGCCACATGACTCTCTTCACGGCGTGCAGCATCGCCTTCATCATGGTAGCATGCGAAGCACTGCGGACTCACTTGTTTGTTTGGACTGTCTTCTCACCAAAGTACCTGTACTGCATGGCTTGGAGCATTGGACAGCATCTCATCATGAACATCGTCGTCGCTGGCCTGTTGTATCGATTGGGCTCCGTGTGATTTGATCTCAGCAGAGAATAGAAGAACCGAGCAAAGCATCATAATGTGGAAGGAGAAAGTCGCAAAGTCGATTCCGCAAGGGATAATCATTACCAGTACATATACGTCATCAATCCTTGTCCAAATGTCAATCCATAAAGCTCCCTCGTCCCATGACCGGGAACGGTTATTCATCATCAAAAGTGCCACCCAGCTCATCAATGTGTTTGTTGCTTATGCCCCCTCCTCGTCTGACAATAGCTCGCTCACAAGAGAGTTGCCGTCGTCCTTGATGGTGGTCTGGATGACAGTGTCATCGCTGTCTTCATCTTCTTCTTTAATGTCGGGCTCCAAGTTGAGCGTCCTCTCATTGTCGGTCTCTTGCTTTTCGGACGGCGCAACAGATCCGGCGACAGACCCGGCCACTGAAGCAGCAACGGACACGCTTCGGCTCATGCGACGCGGCTCGCCATCCTGCTGCTCCCCGAGGCTGGCGACGATCTTGCCCAAACTGACATGGACCTTGTTGAGGGCGTTTCGGCCAGTCGTGTCGGAGATTAGCCTGTCGTTGACAGCGATCGTGACCTCGTCGTAGACCTCTCTGATCTTCTCCTCTGTGCTGGTAGGTGAGATGTACAGCTTTCCGAGTAGCGACGCTACGACCTTCTTTTCCTCCTCTGCAAGGGAAGTCAGTATCGATATTTGGATCTTGTTATCGTCGAGATTAACTTACTGCTTATGTTACTGTTCAAGCGGTCCAGGATATCCAGAGCAAACTCCAGGTGGATGTCGCCGTTGACAGTCTTCTTCTCCAAATCAAGACCGGTTGCAGGGTTGAAACACTTGCGAGGATCAGTCCAGTCCACCAGACAAGCACCAATGGTCGTCAAGCTCTCCATGTCTTCGTCGACATCAGCGTCGTCGTCCTCCAAGCTCTCACGGACGTTCAGAAGTGCATGCAGAGCATCCAGGGCGACGGTACGCATAAGGTCTTGGTTCTCAGCCCGCGAGTAGCAGAAGACGGGTAGGAAGTAGTTCAGGGCCTGTCTGACGCTCTGGTTGGTAGCTGTGACGGGGTCAAAGTATTGGACGACAAGTGTCTTGAGCATTTCAGCCGAAGCTTCCGGGTCCGTCACGACACGTCCCAATAGCAGCTTGGATACGGCCAACGTGGCAGCAGCCTGGACCTCGGGCGACTTTGTGCCTGATTTCAGCGCTTTAATATAAATCTTTAGCAGTGCCGGCGTTGAGCTGAGTAATTGGGCTCCATGGACATTAAGGATGTCGGTAAGAATCTGCAAGGCGGTGATCTGAAGGGCAGTGTGGCCCTTGGTGAAGAAGTGCATGAAGAGTGTCAGGTTCTCCTCGGCCAGAGATCTGTCCAGCAGGGAGCAGAGGCCCAGGCATACAAGTCCTCTCTCACGCACCGGTGCCTCGTGGCTGCGGACAGCAGGGACCACAAGATTGTTGAGCATCGAAACCAAGTGATCGTTCTGTTGCAGGTTGCCGGCGACGTTGGACAACATGCACTGCACAATATGCAAGCACTTCATGTTGATCATGATCTCCTTGACAGCCTTTGCTCGAGCTTCTTCTTCGCTGAGCTCGGGACTCTTTTGTCGACTTCCGCCCCTTGCGGGCGTGCCGTCGCCACTGACCTCCGACCTCGCTGAGTGGAAGCTGTCCTCGGTGCGGTCGTCCGGTGCTGGGTCATCGACGATTGTGTCATGAACATCAGCGACAGCCTCGAGAACCACTGAGCAGAACTCTTTCTCGCCGGCATTATCTGGCGCGCAGATGTCCCTAAGGACATTGATGGTGAGCTTCGTCACATCATCCGGAAGCTCGGGGACTGAGAGCGACTGGCGAAGGAGGGCGAACATCTTGCGACGACCGACCTCATCGGAGTAGTCAAGGGTGATGGCGATGTGAAGCAGTTGCTCGACGATGAACTCCTGCTCAACCGTGTCTTCTTCCTCTTCCTCTTCGCCTTCTGTCTCGGAAACCCTCTTAATGGCCTCGATCAAGACGCTGATGTATCTCTCGAGGTAGAATGCGAGAGTGGTCACTTCTGGCAGCTTCTCCTCAACCAGTGACTCAAATTTGCCATTGCTCTCGTTTCTGCAGAAGTCGTTGAAACTGCGAGCCATGAAAACAGACTCAGCAGAGAGCGTCTCCCAGAAGTGCTGGTCGAAGGTGACAGCTTCCCGGTAGTCGGGTCTCCCTTCCCAGAAACCCTTCATCGCCTCAAGAGCGACACCGTTCTCAACACCGGAGTTCACAACGTCGATTCGTTCTAGAAGCTCAAGGAGGCCATCGAAGTTGGGAGGCGAGGGTTCGGCAGGCGGAGCTCCTTCTTCGGGTGGCGCAACGCCGGCGCAGTCCTCGATCCAGCGTTCGCGGAAAAGCCTGCCTGCGGACTTACGCACATTTTCGTCTCTGTCACGAAGACCCCATCTGAGGAGCTTCTCTCTCATTGAGAGCGAGAGATGTCGGAAATCACCGAGAGCTGGCAGAAGCCGCGAGTATACTGCCCTGCGAGTCAAGGCATCTTGATCTCTGGCGCGCTCCAACAGATATGGGAGGGTAGCGGGAAGAATCGGGAGGTTAACGAGTAACGACCTTCTCACATCTGCGCTGGGATCGTTTTGGAGAACCTCTAGGAGCTTCTCAAGCAGCCCGCTGGCGTCGTCGTCATCGCTATCGTCCTCGTTCGCAGCGTCAACTTGGTTACCAGCCAGACGCCCCAGGCCCAGAACTGCCTGGGCGCGGACCATTGCCTCCTTGTCGTGGATGCGCTTGAGAAGGCCGTGCCGGAGTTTTTGGAAGAGATCGTCGTCGATGGCGTCGAGAGAGTTGATGATGTGCGAAATCAATTGAGTAGATCTGTACCGCACAAACTTGTCCTTGGCTACCATCAGGGGCAAAACCGTGCTCATGAGGTAGCTGGTGAGTCTGGTGCTGGGAGTCTCGGGCATGACACTAGCATCCTCGTCGATCTCCCCCAGAATCTCGTTGTCTTTGTCGTTCGCATGTCGCAGGAAGAAGCCAATGAATCGGATCGTCTTCTCTCCAACGCTCTCTGCCTTTTTGATGGGCATCACTCTCAAGACACACCGAACGAACTCAGAGTTGAAGGCTTCCTCATCAAAGTCGTTTGACGTTGACTTTTTCAGGCTGGTCGGCTCGTATGCGCAGGCCTCCTGGATCTTGCGCAAGGTGACAACAAGCTTGCGGTGTGACGCTGTGTTTTTTTGTGCATCTCGGAAGACGGCGCACACCTGACCGCGAAGTTCGCTGTCGGGTCTTTCGGTAGGGACATCGAGAGCAAGCGAGGAGGAGCGGGACGCTGTTGATGCTCGGGAGCCGAGTGTCGCTGCGAAGGATTTGTGCGAAACGGCGGCCGAGGTCCGCGTGGACCTGGTAGATACTCGTGCGGGCATCTTTGGTTTGTCGTGTTTGTGTCGTCAAATGCGGCGGATCGGACGAGGCCGCATGGGAAATGGGGAGAAAAGCTGTATTCGTTAATGAGGCAGAAAAAGTATGTGTTTGTTGATTGATGGGTGATGACTGGCGCCCCCATTTGCGAAATGACTGCCAGGACACACCGCACACAATCACAGTGAACCCCGGCGCGTTTTTGTTTTTATCCAGTCTGCAACGGGCAAGTCAATAGACTTCCAAAAAGAGTATAGCGCGGGGTCGCTCCTAGCTCTCCCCACTCCAAACTCCAAGTTCCTTGCACGTGCTGATAAGCTCAGGAAAAAAATCCTTATCGTAGAATTTCGCAGCGCGATCACCGCCAGCCATTTTCCATGCAGGAAGAGTAAACCTCTTCACAACCTCTTTTACCAGCCGAGGTCATTTTGTTCGTCATCTTTTCAATTGAAGTTGTTCGCGATACATACAACTCAACAAAACCAACATGTCATCTCCTGGTAAGCCGCTCAAGCGGTCACGAGCCGAGGAGGATGAGCACGATGCCCTCGTCGCAGCCGCCGTCGCCGAGAACCTTGCAGCAGACTCTGCAGCAGAACCGAAGGCAAAGAAAGCCCGCACCGAGGCCAACCGCTCTCTCTTCGTTCGCTCTCTTCCTGCGACCGCCACTAGCGAATCCTTGACCGACTTCTTCTCCGAGCATTTCCCAGTCAAGCATGCGACCGTCGTTCTCGACAAGGCCACCAAGGCTTCCCGAGGCTATGGCTTCGTCACCCTGACGGATGCCGAAGATGCTATGGAGGCCAAGAAGAAGCTTAACAACATGATGTGGGAGGGACGCCGCATTAGAGTCGATGTTGCCGAAGCCAGAAGCCGTGACGGCAAGGAGAGCGCCGTTGGAGCGGCCGCTGCCGGCCAGAAGCAGAAGCGTACGCAGGAACTTGAGGAGGCCAGGAAACCCCCTAAGTTGATTATTCGCAACTTGCCCTGGTCTATCAAGAACTCTGCGCAGCTGGGTGCTCTTTTCCGGGCTTACGGAATTATCAAGTTCGCCGACCTGCCCCAAAACAAGGGCAAGCTCAAGGGTTTTGGTTTCGTGACCCTCCGAGGACGGAAGAATGCCGAGAAGGCCTTGGAGATGAACGGAAAGGTTATTGACGGAAGAACCATTGCGGTTGATTGGGCCGTAGACAAGAGCGAATGGGACCAGGTGAACGGTACCAAAGAGGACACGGAGGATGACGAGAAGCCGAAGAGCAAGAAGCAGAAGAAGGCTGCCACAAAGGAAGAGGAGGAGGCCGTCGAAGACGACAAGACCGGCGAGGAACCACAGGGCGCCGACGCCGATCTGGAAAACTTTATGAAGAACCACATGATGAACCTTGAGGACGAGGAGGACAGTGATGAGGATAAAGACAAGGACGAAGATGAGGATGAGGATGAAGATGAGGACCTTTCCGAAGATGATGAGGAGGAAGCAGCCAGCGACGCTGAGGACGACAGCAAACCCGCCAAGAAGACTCAAACATCAACCGATAACACCTCGACACTTTTCATCAGGAACCTCCCTTTCACCGTTACAGACGACCAACTGAAGGAGCAATTTGTCAAGTTCGGCCCGGTCAGGTATGCCCGTGTTGTCATGGACCGTGCAACCGACCGCCCCGCAGGTACTGGGTTTGTCTGCTTCGTCAACGAGGAGGATGCGAAGGCCTGCATCAAGGGCGCGCCGCGCACACAGCCCAATGCCCTCCCGACCAAGCACTCCGTGCTGCAGGACGATTCCGCTGACCAGGATGGTCGATACACTATGGACGGCCGGCTTCTGCAGGTTGCTCAGGCCGTCAGCAAGGACGACGCTGAGCGCCTGGCCGCCGATGGCAGTGCCAAAAGACGGGAGAAGGACAAGCGACGTCTCTTCCTGCTTAACGAGGGCCAGATCGACACCAGGTCTACCCTGTACCATAAGCTCACCCCCAACGAGATCAAGATGAGGGAAGATAGTGCCAAGCAGCGCAAGAAGCTCGTCCAGAGCAACCCTACGTTGCACATCAGTCTGACCCGTCTGGCCATTCGCAACATCCCGCGCAATGTCGGCTCCAAGGAGCTCAAGGAGCTGGCTCGCAAGGCCTGCGTCGAGTTCGCCAAGGATGTCAAAGAGGGCAAGCGTCAACCCCTTTCCAAGGAGGAAAAGGTCAGGAGTGCAAAGGAGGCCAAGGAGGGCGAGCACGAGCGCAAGCTGAAGCGCAAGGGTATTGTCCGCCAGGCCAAGATTGAATTCGAGAGTCGCGAAGGCACTAAGGTCCCCGAGACGAGCGGCGGCAAGTCTCGTGGATACGGTTTCATCGAGTACTCATCCCACCGCTGGGCGCTCATGGGCCTTCGCTTCCTCAACGGCTACCAGCTGGAGAACGAGCATGGCAAGAAGCAGCGTCTCATTGTCGAGTTCGCCATCGAGAACGCCTCCGTCGTAGCCCGTCGCAAGGCCAACGAGAAGAACCTCGACCGCAACAGGCAGAACGCTCAGAACGCCAAGGACGGACAGAACGCCAAGAAGGGAGGCGACGAAGGCAAGGAGCTGCCCAAGATGGCCTCTTTGAAGGACAAGAAGAAGGGAAAGAAGGGCAAGAAGGGCAACCTGAACAAGGGCAAGAAGGAGGAGACTGAGGCAAAGCCCGAGAAGGTTGAGAAGGCCGACAGCAGGAAGCCCACGGGCAAGGTCGACCGCGAAGATGTGAAGCCGTTGTTGATAGCGAGGAAGCGTCTCATGAGAAAGAAGAAGGCCTCTTCCCGGGGTTAGGCTAGGTGGAGAGAAAGAATGTGTAAGGGATGTAATTATGGGCTCTGTGCATCATCATGGTTATTCAAAAGCATCAAATTTCATTCGATATCCAGAACATGTCTGTTAAACATCATTCTTGTTTCCGTGTTCGTTGAAAGGCAACCCAGTCATTGGTCAAGAGTTCTCGTCATTGAGTGCACCTTGTGAACTCCAAGATACATTATGAGATCGTATCGAAGTAGAGTTTCATTGCATTCGTGTCGCAGCCCAAGTATGTATGGGGAGGAACTAACGAAGTTTTTATACACAAGAAGTAAAAAGCAAGAGAGCGTGCCAGTACCCCATCCCGTGCGCGCGCCCCAAACGATGGACAGTTGTTGCATTTGTGTTGCGGATAATATCCCAATACCAATCAATTCCAAAGCCTCCTTCTACCGGAAACGCCAATATGCAATGCTGAGAAAAGATAACGATGCCTTCCAAGCCCCTCAATCAGAAAGTCCCCTTTTGTCACAAAATCGCATCCACCTCTTCTTTATACGTCCTCCTCGGGGTCTGTATTGGCATCCCGCCTGTTTCTCTTCGACCTAAAGAACCCTCCTAGCGTATCGCTCAGGCTCCGCGGTCTGCCCGTCTGGGGTTCTCTAGAAGCGCCCTCGCCCGCGGTCCGGCTGCGCTCGGCCACGCCTCCGTCTCCGTAGTCATTCCCTCGGCTCATCAGATCCTGTCTCTCGGCGTCGCTATCCGCGCCCTCGCTGTTCTCGGGCACGAAGAGGCTGGCCCGGATGCTCGAGCGTAACCTCCGCACCGAGGGCCTACGCAGCAGCGGACTTTCTGCGCTCCTAAGAAGAGTGTCCTTGACAACAGCGCTGACAGTGGACGAAAGGGGAGACGGGGAGAAGAGAGGGCTTGGGTATTGGTGGCTGTGAGGTCGGGTTGGCAGTGCTGTGCGCGGTGTGACCGGTCTGTTATCTGTAGGATACTTGGGTTGTAATTGACCGTCATAGTACGGTGTTACCGGCTCTGATGGCGAGAAGCCGAGACCGGGGAACGTGTTAATGGAGTCGTCGGATATCGTCCTCGTTCCAGGCGGGGGAAGGACCTCGTCCGCGGAGTTGCTCCAAGGGTTGGCTAACAGAGGTTCCACATCCGCGTTAGGAAGGTTGCCCGTCGACGCAGTCGTGGGGATACGAAGTGTGGGGATTCCCAAGTCGTGCTGCATACTGAACTGCTTCGACCCGTTGGTTGGATGCCCTCCGTTGGAAGCCCGAGAGGAGCGGCGCGATCTTGGGGATGGGATAGATGTGGATGAAGGCGCCAGCGGCTGCGTTGGGCTATAACCGTCTTGCTCGGCCAAGCCGATGGTCTCCTCCACGCCGTCGACGTCGGACATGCCGTCCTCAATATCCTCCTCGACTCGACCGCTAGTAATGAGGAAGACGCCAAAAAAGGTGAGCAGGCAACCTCCAATAAACTTGCCTGCCTGTTCGGCAGATGTCCTCTCGAAGTCGCGATACAAGACGGCACTGCCAATGATGACGCAGAGCGTGAACAAGACGAACTGGATGGGAATGACCTGCGTTGAGCTGAATCTCTGCAGCGCCTTGTTGACGTAGCGCACCTGCATGACTGCGGTGAAAAGGAGGATAAAGAGCAGCGCCCATGCAACCGGGGTTTTGAATGCGCCCAGGAGGGTCGTTGACAATATCGAGGACACGCCCTTGGTAGACAGAGCCGTGAAGCCACCTAAGGCAAACGTTAGCCGGCGTTTCGCATCATCGTTGACGAGTGCGGTACATACCAAAGAGTCCCACAAGACCCAAGTCGATCAAAATGGTCCGGTGACCATACCTCGGGCTCGCCCACATGAGGATGACTATTAATGATATCGTCACCGCAAGGTATATCTCGAACGCCAAAGTCGTGATCGCGTCCCACACATCGTCGGGGTCGAGCTTCGTCTCCTCCTGCTTGGCGCTCAGAACCACAACGACAACTCCGGCCACGGCGATAATGACGCCCCAGAAGTCGCGCTGCCTGAACTTCTCCTTGAACACGATCGGCGCAATAACACAGTTGGATATCAGCGCGACGACCCCCAGAGGCGACACGATCGAGGCGGGCGCGAAGCCATAGGCCAAAAAGTTGCCCAGCTCGCCGAGGGTGATCAGGATCTGGCCAGCCCACCAGTAGGGCGACTGGAGGTATGTGGAGGGGGCTTTATCGTCGTCGCCAGAGTAGTCGGAACCAGCGGACTCCTCGGAACGGAAGGATCTCGTCAGGGGCTCAGACTCGCCACCATCGTGGTCTGCGTGGTGGTTCGCGCTGTCACCGCTCTCGTTTGTGTCTCCTGCTTCTCCGCCGCCAACAGAGCCGTAGGGCCCCGTCTGGCCTCCGCCCGGCGCATGTTTCAGGGCTTCTTTCGCTCGTCGCCGGACCCGAATGCGCTCTCGGTGGAGTCGGAGGTGGGCGTAACGCTGAACGTTGAGGGCGAGGGCGATGAGGACGTTGCCGACGATGGCGGTGATGATGCCGATGAGCGATGACCAGTTCTGCAGGTCCTTGCCGTCGTCCGGGCGTGCCGCAGGCTCGGCGGCGATGAGCACTGGAGCTATCGTCATTGCCGGCGCACGCTACGAGTTCTGTGTTGTCGAAAAAGAGAAGGGCGAACGGTGTATGGAGCGTAGATATCGAGTCGCGGTCGTTTGTATCACAAGCTAATTTTTTTTCTCGGGGCAGCACGCGCAAATGGTGCTAGTTGGCCAAGGCTGGCGATGATGACGACGGCGCGAATTGAGTCGCCTGGCATCCAAACGCTGTGGATGATTGGGCTCGAATGGGATGCAGTATCATCTGGACGGCGCAAAGGATGCGTGGTAACAAAAAGGCACCAGAATGCTGGGAGGATATGTTCGTCGTCCTACAATGCAGAGTGCAAATCGTCGTAGCCAGCCATGAGGATCTGCGGTTGAGAAATGGGAATTGGTAGTCCGGGGGAAGAGTATGGGTCAGGTAGTAAGGTATTGGTAGTAGTAGAACAATCAAGATTTAGTGCAATCACTAGACTCGTGGTTGGTCGCGTTGACCAAGTGCTGCAATGGAACTTGGCTGACGCTACTCCATCCTCTTCCTTTTGCTTGGGACTTGGTGGTGTTTCTCCTCTCTCTTGGGACTCGCATCGGTCGGCAAGACGAGACCGACCCGATGCTAACGCGCGGGTCCGGGCATGAGGCACGTTCCCACATTCAATCTGGAAATCCCCCAGTCAAAGATGAAGGGCCCTTCAAGCAAGTCCCTGAGCGGACAAAAGGTGGGCCCTCTGTTGATGCTCTTAGAGTGTGGCTCAGCAGCAGTGTGGGGTTGTTAGGCTCTGAACTCTGCTGCAAAATGCGGTCATTCCGTGGCGCTCACTGCGTACCAAGATTTGGGTTGGCATGTGCTTCAGGCTACGAGGAACGCTGTCTCGCTCTGTCTTGCTCTGTCTCGCTCCGTTCACCTGCCAGCCACACCAGTTTAGCGTCCGGATGCTAGCCACATGTCATCAGTACATGGCAATTTAGTCCAGGGTCGTGACGGGCGGGCCTTCCAGGAACGCATCACCACCAGTGAGTGATCCGACCGGGGCAACGGCCAGCTGGATGAGGCTGGTGCCCGAGACCCCGATTGAACGATTGGAACGTGGGCCCGGCACGTGCTGGAAGCGGGGTGCGGGTTGTGGCTTGGCCGTAACTGGATTATTCCAGGATATTCTTGTCTCTGGAACCTCTGGAACCTCGCCCGCGCGCCACAGAGACCCGTCCAATCCCAGATTGTTGGGGACTTATCGGAACTTCTAGAGGCTCCGATCTCTCTCCCACAACTGCCACCTCATTGGAACCCCACCGTCTCCCGATCGCCACTACAGGTGAGCTGATGTGATCGACGACGTCGTTTTCATGATATTTCATCTTCGTTCGTCTCGTCCTTCAGGCATCTCATTGTTCATGTAGGCCTCGAGCCTTCTTTGATGCATCCGGAGACAATCCGCGAATTGCCTGCACCGAGTCCCAGACTCGCGCATCTCATCAACTGAGACGCTCATAAACACAAACAGCCTACATATAAAACCAACCACTTAGAGACTCGGCACCTCACCAATCATTTCGTCCATCATGCCCGACAACGACGACTCTTCGGACAACTTCTTCGTCCGCTTCAAGCAAAAGGTTGACGACCACATCGCCTCGGCTTTCCAGAGAGTTCTGGGCGTTCCCACCGCCGTGTCCCGTCTCAACAGCAGCTGGCCCGAACCTCCGCGACCGTCCCGGGCCGACGAGCATGAGCGCAGAATAACAACGTCAGAGGACGGTGTCGCCGCCGCTGCCAATGCCGTCCAGCCTCGCGGGCCGTCCTCGCAGTACCCCCACCCGACTGTGTTTGACCTCTTCTCGTCAATGTCGCCAATGCAAGCCCTCTTCGAAACCGACAAGCTCACAGAGTCCCTGTACCAGGTCATGTGGATCTCGTTTCTCATCGACTCGCCCTACTCACCGCTGCGGCTTCACGACCTGCCGCAGCCCACTCCCAAGGACCTACCCGAGGGCACCGACGCGACCCTCTTCGGCTTCGAGGACGCGTTTGAGGACCTGCTCATGGTGAGCAGCGGCCAGGGCTTGCCGGACATCAACGAACGCGTCCGCTTCAGAAAGGAGTGCCGCGAGTCCTTCCCCCACGGGCTGCCACCGATCCTCTGGCTTCACCAGCTCACCCGCCAGGGTCTGTGGGATGGCTGGGACCCGAGGCCGGAGGTGCTGGACGGGCCCGTGAGTGAGCGGTGGCAGCGGTGGTTGCAAGAGCAGGATGATCCCTTCCGCGAAGGGCGATCGCTGCCCGCCCCGAGCCAGTCGTCGCCCAAGGAGGTCCAGAAGACGCCGGCGGTTGAGGACGCGGCGCGGGAGGCACGAGGGCGTCCTGAGCAGGACCACCACGGGGAGACCGAGGAGGACTCGTACTTCTCGGTCATGGGCAAGGCCCGTCTCAACACATCCCGCGAGACGTCCACGTCCACATCCGAATCGCCCAAGTCGCACTCCACCACGCGAGACCTCTCACCTCATGGCCTCCCCGCGGGTTGGAGAGTCGTGGAAAAGGTCCAGGAGCGCGAGGACGCAAAGGGCAACGTCCATGTCACCAAGACCGTCACGACATTCAATGACAGAGGCGAGGAGGTTGGCAGGCAGACGGAGAGCCGTTCCGAGTACGCCTGGTCGGCGAGTTTCTCGGCAGGCAACAACAAGAACAGGGATCAGCAGCAGCGAGATAGCGACGAAGGCGACAACGATAAGAGCAGTTGGTTCTGGAAATGAAGCATCGGCTTTTTGACCTTTTCCCCTTTTCCTTTGTGTGTTTGGGTACCTTCTCTGGAGTTATCGGGATGGGATTGGAATCAGGGGCCAACGGTACGAACAAGAAGCCAACTTTCGTATACAGAGTAAAATATCAGGCAAAATTGAGAAGACCAAAACGGTCAAGTTTGTAACCAGGGTATGCAATCATCCTTTCGCTTCCTGATGTTCGTCGTCTCGCTTTCGGTCCTTTTAACCCCAACCCCACGTTCCTAGATCCTTCTCCCGCATGGCCGGTCCGACTCCTAACGAACCTACAGCGTGTTTTCCCTCTCTCTCCTTTCTCTTCTCCCCGGGAACAGGATTCGCTAATCCTTGGCATTGGCTGCCGCCGGAGCCTTTTGGAATAGCGTTTTAGTCTCTTCTCCCCATCAACCAACAGCATCTACCACCCAGCCTTAGTCTTAGTCCTCGCAGCACACCCCGACGGCCAACGAGCACGTTTTGACTCGTCTCGTATGAGGAACACGAACCAACAGCCAGGTCTACTTCCAACATCGAGCTACGGGCTAATTTAGTTGCTCTAGTCCATGCCCCTCCCGAAGGCCGCCATGCTTCCCCGGGGCCGATCACGTTCAGAAGCCCCAACACTAAGCGTTTAGGTCAGACAGACAGACTCCGTCGTTAGTCTGACGAAAACCAAGACGCCAGACTAATACACGGGGAGTGGCGGAGATGAGACGGAGGACGAACCCTTTCGATGTCGACCAATCTCTCTCATGCTCCTTTCGTGCTTGGCACCGATGTCCCATTTCCCTTCCTACCTTCTCTCTCAAATGGCCCCCAAGGGACGAAAGCTGACTATACCCAACTCAGCAATGATCGAGGGCCTGCGGCACGCGAGTAAGTTGCTCGTCGAATGGATGTCGAGTGTTCGTGTCCTTGCCCCGGCCTAGCTCGTAGAAGAGTTTCCTTCCAGAAAGTCCCGGTACGTGAAGCCACGGCTGGACCGACAAGACCTAGCAAACCCCCGGGCAGCCGCTGCATCGTCCGATGCAGCATCGCGCCAAACTTCCAGGGAGACGGAGGCAGATCCGTTGCCTCATCCGTGATCCTCCACGCGACGCGACGCGTATGAGGGGTCTCCCGACTCCTGGCACAGGACACCGCTCCCTCTAGACCAAGCGTGGACACCAGACAGAAGCCAACAGCCTACTTGAATAGACGAACAGACGTCGCCAGATGACAGTTGTCCCACAGCCCACAGCCCGCGGTCTACTTTTGACTTTGCGACAGCAGCTCGTCGGTCTGCAGGTTGACGGGGCGGACAACCGCTAGTTGCACAGTCACTTGGCTAGTTGGCTAGCGAGGAGGCCTGACAAGAAGACCCTAAGACATGATGGGGCACCACATCGTTCGGAAATACTGATCCTGCGCCCCGGTTCTAGGAGAAAGCTCAGCTGGCCTACGAACCCAACCGAGCAATTTCACACCTCGTATCGTCATATGGGACAGACGAGAGAAGAGCTCCGGCAGCAAACTTTGATCGTCAGTGGGAATCAACGAAACACGGGCTATGGGTTCGTACTTTCGAATGAATCCTTTCGAATAGTGGCTGCCCGCTAGAAGCGGTGACCGGGTTCTCCCGCACCAAAACCAATATCCTCCGAATTTGGGGCTGACGATCTTTCCAATTTGGCTGGAAAAGGCCGATCCCTTGCAAGGGGTACACATGAAGGGACACTCTTTCCGCCCGCTTCGCGCTCTAACAGGCTCACCCTCTCTCTCACTCACTCTCCCTCTCAGCGACAAACGCCGGCAGTTGCACGAGTATTGGCTCGGAGGTTAGACGGCGCGTTGGCGAAATGGCCCAGCTCGTTGGTTCCCATAGCTTTTTTTCCGAGGACGCCGCTGTTTCGTCTGTGCGGCCCTGTTCGGGCATGGATGCGGGTCGGGGCACCAATACGTCTCGAAACGTGCCATCCATCAATATCAACGTGCCGAACGCGCACGGCCAGAGAGATCTGGCTGTCCAGCCTGCCAAGAAGACCCCCGTATATTCTGGTTCGATGTGTCCAGCAGAGGAAGGTTCCGCAACAGGTGACCATTGCGATACTGGACGTTGTCAGATATCATGAGTGCTCGCGCTGCAAGCCAGGCCACGCTCATCACAATGCTTGCAGAGCGCGCAACCAACGACCCTACACCACATCTGCTGCGGGGCCATGCCGACGAAAAGATGTCAAAAAAGGGACGTTGGTGACGCCTAGGGGTCCAGAACAGGGCAGCGTTCTAGCGTAGGGTTTCCCGATCACACAGAAGACGTACGTATCATGAGTATCGGAGTAACCACAGAGACGTCAACAATTGGAACCGACTCCGGCCAGCTTCTTGAGTCACTCACCCGTGCGGTCTGGTCCAGTCGACCTGACTGGTGTAGCGCCCAAAGTAGAAGACCAGTTTGATGGTCTCTGGCAAGGATCGACAAACTCGAGTCTGGGCGCGGCGGATAAGGCTTTTCCTGATTCTATCCTTCATGTCCGTGCTGGTCACCGCTGTCCGAGCGTCAATGAATAAACTTTGACAGGACCTCGTCCGGGCACTTTGGGCGCCGAGAAAAGATGGCTGTTGAGCATTTACGAGGCACATCTGGGTTGTGCCCAGTTCATCAATGGCATCAAACGGAATGGACGGTGCCCGAAGCCATGAGCCGTTCCCGGGGATCGACGGCCTTGGGCCCGGAGGGTGTCCGCCTCGTTTCGCACATCGGCAGACTGGAGCTATCGGCAGACTAGAGACCTATCATCGTCAAGGCCTTGTGTGGTGTCCCGATACGTTGTGGCATCGCTTGCACACTGCCTCCACGATGCGCCCATCGTCTCGAATTATCAGCTCGGTATATGAGTGGACGGTTGGCGTGCGTACGCAGTAATGAAACAACAGCGCGACACAAACCGAGTGTCGAAGAGACGGCAACAACATACACGACGGCGATAGGAAGGGCGCTATAATAATGGAATCGGCGTTATTGCAGGCACTGTATCTCCCAGGAGCACGGGTACAAACTCCGGTACGAGCAGCGCGGAGGCCGACAGGGGATATCGTTCGAGAGGGCGAACCACGATACCACCTCAACGTTCGTCCGTTTCTGGAGAGGGATCGCTGGTCGGCGAGATCCCACAGCGCTCAACTGGGCAGGATAGATGAAACGGCGGTCCATATCTGGAAGCCTATTCGGCTCCCAGTCAGTGGCAGCGTGGCCCGGGTCTGTCCAACTCCCAGGGCGACGGAGTGGAGGTGGTCGGGCAGGAACTGCGGAAGTACAGACCGTACGTAAGGGGCCCGGCGCCGACGTGCTCAAGCCATCGGGATCCTCCTTGCTCGGGACGCAGCGATGCTACGGTCGAAACCCTCGATCGATGTCACCTCCTGGGGCCTTTGTTGTAGGTACCATCACACACCCAACCAGATGCAATAAGATCGGCCATATACTCGACGCGATGGTGAGAAGACGTTTGTCACGGCTTTGTAATCCAAATTGTGCGGCAGGGAAGTGCGCTGAGGAGCACGCCGTTTGGTGGTGGCGTGATATCGGAAGTTGTTTTGCGTTCGGGAGATTAGAGGTGACGGGATAAAAATCGGGATTCTGAGAGCTCTCTGCTAAAATTGGACAGCAGCCAAGAGCGCTGGAGTCGAACCCCGTATCGCCAGCATCCCCCGGGTGAAGAGTGAGGGGAAGTGTGGCACTTGGTCCAACTGTTGGTGGTTTGTCCCTTGGGAGTTGGCGATCCAACGGCCCTCATACATGGACTGAGTGTGGTCTTGATGAAGGGGAAACCGTTTACCCACAGTAAATGCATCCAGGCCCTCGATCCATCCCGAGGGGGTATGCGTACATGTTCCATCATGATGCATATTTTCTTGACGATGATTCAGTATTGGTGGCAATACAAGGTCGCCATTGTCAGCATGCTCACCTAGCGTGCGGGAGCAGGTCGCGATAACGGGCCATCTGTCCTTCTCCTGGGCTTCGATGCGAGCTTTACGGGACCTTGCAGACTCGCGAAGCCGATCAGGGCTTTTTTCGAGAGTACATATTGGCTGCACGCGGCTAGCAGTTGGAGCGTCACACCGGCCGACGAATCTGTCATTAGCCTATGCAAGTCCCATGAGAGAGAGATACTTGATGCATCGCGGCGGCACGGTACATGTAGCTCGGCGCATCCTTCAAAGGAGGGCGAGAATGCAACCACAACCGCCGTCTCTCAGCTGAGATTCTGTCAGGGCCGACACCACACACACCATGGACATTCGATTCCCAGCTCCCGGGAAGCGAGGCATGGATAGGCTTTGCTGGTCCATGGTTGTGTGTAGCATCCTCCACGATCCTTCTGTCCGCCTGTGCAGCAACCGACGAATCCTTGAAACCGCAGCTAATTGCAACCAGCACAGCACCATGTCTGCGTTGATCGAGGACGCAGCAGGTTGGCGCGTTGGGCTGGAGAACAAGGGTCCTGTCCTTCCAGTCATTTGTTTTCTTTCTCTTTCCCTATCGGGATACAGGCGCGTCGTGAAGAAGAGGGATGGCCGGAGCTGTTGCCAACCGGTCTCTGGCAAGGTTGGGGTTATCTTGCAAAAACCATGCTGCAGGCATCTGTTCCCCAGGATTGTACCCTTCTCCGCGTTGGAGACCGCCAAGGAGAAGATCCTACTCCAAATTTTGCTCAACCTGCACACATATCGCGCACATTATTAAACCTTTACGTTTTGGCTGAAGGCTTTCCTGGAATATCCGTACAGTTCGGTCTCGCAAGAAAGCTCGTTTTTTTATCTTTTTTTCTTACGCCGCTGACGTTGCCCTCGTGTCTCTCTGTCCAGAGTGCTCCTTGTCCATCTGCTTTCTGCTTGGGATGACCATGCAGTCTGCCAGGAGTCGCTGATCTTTGTGGAACCGTATCCGCCATTACATTGAGCATCGCCTCGGAAGGCGGATGATTGACGACATGCTGACCGACGGGGCC